GTACGCGTCACGCACTTGCTTTTACCGCGTCATTTACGCGGAGCTTGCAAAATATATCGATCGTATGATTGTATGCAGGATGATTGGATAATAAATCATGTTCGAGTATCAATGTGTGCTGAAATATTCTGAGGCGGGCCTGTTGTTGCGATAATGTATCTCGACTCCATCGTAATAAGTACATGTAAATCGTTAGGTAAAGACAAAATTTCGTCACTGCCAAATGGGTAGATTGAGGCTCGTCATAATTATATAATATATATAATTATATATAATTATCGTACCTCAAAATTAATAGTTATGTCATGAACTAAGGATTTATTGACAATTGATTATCGATCGCGAATTCGATGAAACACGAATACAGCGTATTATATAAACTGAAAGATAGATAAATGAACAAGATATCGAAATGCTTGAACGCTACGTTGTTTTTATGACGAATGCAACTCTCCATTTGCACCGTGAGCGAGTCATATTTCTCTTAACGTTGTTTCGAATTTTCTTTTCACAGCATTGCAACTCCAAGCAGCACAGCTTGTGTGTTTACACTGTGATATAAGCTCAAAGATACTTCTAATATTTCGCTCGTGAGTTAAAGTCTAATAAAACGAGAAGAAATAGTGACGAAACTTCGCACGCGTTGGTGCGAACAAGTTCGTAAATGTAAGTAGTTGTCGAAGTGAAAGAGTTAAAAGAAAATAAGGAAACCGAGATATGTTGAACTTTATGCTTCTGGAAAATATTGTAATTTTCTCCGCAGCGGCAGCGAATAAAAATGAGTTACACGCTGGTTACGAAATAATTAACATTTTTTACTTTAGTGGAAGTCGTATCAATGATTGGCGCTATAATATCACTGCGTCACATTGATTTACATATAAAACGCAATCATTTGCATATAACAAATAATACAGCCAATATCGAGTCAACAGAATAACGCAACAAGTTGTATGCTGTAAGTTGCATTTATTTGTTGTACGCTAGGAAAAAACAAGTTCAAAATGGTGAAAATATTTATTCGATGGATACTAATAACATAGTATATATATTTTTACTTTACTACTGAGAGCAAATTTTTTTTCAAAGAAGAAGATATACTGAATTTTTTTTAAATCTGCAGCTTTTTTATGTGTGAAAGCAATCGTGTATTCCATTTAAATAAAATAATCCAATTTTAAAAGTGATTATGTTATTAGTTACCGTTATTTATTATGGACGTTATATTATATTAGTTATTAGTTATCAGTCACCAGATAATTTATTTTTCAGGTATTTTTTTTTTTTTTTCATTATATGTTCGGTAACTCAAAGTTTGGTTGAGCATCAAGGTGGTCATTAGAAGTCACCGTGGCGATCAAAAGTGTTAATTGGAATTTCAAGGTTTAATAGTCATGCTATGTCAGATTCATGAGTTTATTCACGGCTCGTTCAGTCGGTTACATCTGTTCGCTACGGTTTGCGCGGATCAATGCGTGCCGATCTCACCGTTGAAGAGATTTGCGTGATTCTATTCTATGTTCGTATCAATGTATGTATCAATTTATACAGGCACACGCGCGACGATAGCATTATTACGTACGCTTGAATAACAAATCCCACGAATTCGCGATGTCCATGTGTTGTTGCATAACAGGACGTGAGTCGGAAAATGTCACGTAAATCGGCGTACTCTTTTGAAGTCGATCATGGTGGCGGAACTTTCGCGAAACGACCATCTCGCGATCTTATTTTAAAAACTTACTTGACATGCACTAATGACACAAAAATCAAATTCTTTATCACGCTGTTCAGCTCAAAAGGATTCAGGCTCTACCAGAAAGACCTTTTTTCACTGATTCATCTATCGAGCTGTCGTAGTCGAATTTTCGATGAGAAATAGCTCGTGAAAATTAACGTTCACTAAGATTCATTAATGCGGAACATCGAAACACTGACAGTCGATAGCCATTAACGAAATTATATTTCGATCATGCCACGCTGCGTCATGAGCGTTTCACATTAACCGGTCCTTAAAATTACTAATTACGAGTCTATGCGCTATTGATAAAACGGTCACATCATTCAGCCATGTCCATCGACGTTATATCACTCTACCGTGCGTTATCTAAATCTAAATTGCTGCTCGACGTAGTCGAGCATCCTGTAATAATTGGCGAAATATACACGATACAACTGTGTAATCAAATCTCGTCTCATCGTAGTCTCATCGAGAGTATAATGTTGCACATATCCGCCGTAACCGTAGGCGGCGAATATTTTCCTGGAGGTGGATTACTGTCTTTTACCGTGGGATCTATTATATTATACGGAATAATTATACGTCTGCTTTGTGCGGAATATTCGCCTTTAATATCCCGCACAAATTGCTGTCTTTCGCACTTTCTCACACTGTCGTTACCGAAATGTAATTAAGTAACTCAATCGGAGAGCGTGTTTGTGGTTTTCTTCAAGACGCAAAACATTAACGCCATCATTATTCGCGATTTTATTCTGGATAATTAAAGCATTTTTGCGTTTCACCTGTTCTTTTTTTTTTGAGATTATTTTTCGCAAAAGAAAAAATGTCGTTACAGTATATGCTTATATCCAATATAAAATTAATAAAATATAAAGTTAATAAAAAAAAGGGGGAAAATAAGATACGAATGGAAATACAAAAAATATCGCTGCTCTTTTCTTTGCTTCAGCTTTAAATTTTCCAAAGCTTTGTTTTCAAAGCTACTTATTCTATTTAAATTTATTCCAAAATGGAGCGAAGTGCGCAAATACTTCTAAAGTAAACTCGCGCGAGAAGAGGCCACTTTTCCGTTGACTCTTCGAAAGTGCGCGATGGATATTTCCTTTGTTCACGAAGGAAGATAATCCTCTCAATGGACAACGAAAACTTCGAAAAGATGAAGACGGCGAGAAACGGGGAGTAACGCGTATGCATTTAAATTCGCATTAATCCTATCCGGACGGGATCCCCTTTGGCGTTTACTAATTCGAATAAGTCTAATGAAAGCCTCACGCGTCGTTACGTCGCGAAAATTACGGCGTGATATCCGATCTGTTCTCTGATCAGCGCGTGCCAAGATTTGCGTCGGGTGTTAATTAAAAATTCACGCAGCGACTCTCAGCGGCGACACAACGGAAAGGTGAGAAAGAATAAGTCGAATCGGAATCGAGCCGCGTCGGCGACTCGTGACGGCGAGCGCCGGTAATTGAAAAGCGGGAAACGGCGGTCCTAAATTACGAGCGGCAAATTAAGCCCCCGGTGTTAACAAATCCGACGACGGTGACGACAACGACGAGGATGAGACTGACGACGACGACGACAACGACGACGACGACGACGACGACGACGACGACGACGACGACGACGACGACGACGACGACGACGACGACGACGATGATAATGTCTAAAGCGGAAACATTCGTCATTTCGCACGTACGTTAACGCTGTCGTTGGGAGAGAATCCATTGCGATTCCGATCGCGTGTTGATCATTAATCCTTTTAATGCGAGATTGATCTCCGCAAATAGGAGTGATTAATCACAAAAATGACGAAATAAACGTTGCGAGTAACAGATCGAACGGTATTGTTCCCTCGATGCCTTCGCATTCAAGCTTGATTTCGAATATATGGGAAGATTGGAAAGTAACACGCGATCAATATCCTGAAGTTTTACATCGGTACAATATGCGGTGGTGGCGATGAATCTGTAAAAACACGTCGGAAGCTACAGATTCTCTGAACTTAACCAATTTCGTCCTTCGATGGGAATGAAAATGAAAATGAAGAAATAAAAATAAGATAAAATTAAAAAATAAAAATTCCTAAGTAAAGAAACAAAAACGTTCAGTAACTGCTGAGATTCCGCAGTTAGAGGGAAGAATCTCCATTACTTTTCTTTCCTTTTCTTTAGAGCGCCAAATAAACAGCACGCGACCGGCAAAGTCGGCTAAGAAGACGGCGGGGAATCCGAACTATCGAAGAGTTCGATGCGAATCAACGCGAGCTGGCGCGTGTCGCACTCGTGAGGAACGTTATTGCGCGTTAACCTTGCGCGACAGTTCGGCTAATTCTCGAAGTAATTTAACGAGATGACACAGAGAGAGTTCCCGTTGTATGAGATGTGTACATGTTTGACTCGTCGAATCGAACGGAATCGAGGAATAGAGAGGGATTCGCTCTCTCGGCGGATGTTGGCGCGTCGCGCACAAAGTAACTGTCCTCACCTGCTGCTGCAATTCATCTATTCGTGGATCACCATGATGGATGGAAAGACAAAGCCGCTGGGCAACAGGATCCTGTTTGTATCTCGGAGCCTGACGAGAGAATAGGCGGGTAATACGAGAGCTCTGAGGAAAAAAGTTATTCGATATTCAAAAACCTGGCGTATTAATCAGACGTCATTTGACGCACGAAAAACCGGACGTATAAACGTGCCCGTTGTTTTTATTCCCGCTGTCCCACCGCGATTTATATTTAACTTCGATCTGTCCATTCGCACAAATTCTTTTTCTCGCTTTACATTCTATTGTTTTTTCGCTTCCCCGAAGCTCTTCCATTTTCCCACATGTAAACATGATGCGAAAATTCGCAATAGAAGCATCTCGTGACGTGGGGGGGGGTTACGTTTTAAACACGTATGGTTTATTATTGGTCGTAACGTTCGATTTAACGTCGACGAGCGATGAATGTTACCGAGCGAAAAGCGACATCGATTTTTCTCTCATATTTCTGGAAAATCTATTTGCTATCCGTGCAGAATCTCTTAATTTTCCAATTAAAGATTAATTATCACATTCTATTGATGAATATCATCTCGCATGAACGCAAATTGTGAAGAACTTAATACACACACACACACACGCGTACACAAACCTTCTTTATCAGGTTGAGATTTTTCAACTCTTACGATATTACTTTATATTATATTATATTTATTATATTATATTATATTATATACTTTATATTATATTAATGCAAATTTGTACTTGTATGTTTCAGATGAACGTCATCAATTTACATTCCTCCTATACGATGATATTGCTCGGTATTTTGACGTCGACGACGATAATCGGCCTCACGAGTTCCACTTCCTTGTCCTCGTACGAGAGAAGAGACTTGTTGGCTGACCGACCTAAAGTTTTCCTGCTGGTGGATCAAAGAACACCAGAATTGGAGGTACGTTTTCTCGTACGACAATAAATGTGTACAATTCATCGCACTTGCTTGACAGTGGTCCTCGGTCAAGTATCTAACTCGCGGATATTTCTCATACGGATCGCGCGACATCACGTGCATTCGCGTTTGCCGCGAAACAGCAACGATATATGAGGGTAGTCCTAGAAGTACCTGACCTGACGTATAGATAGCGGTTGTTGTTTGAAAAGAATGACTATGGTAGAAAGTACCAACCTTATGAAGCTTAAGTTTGGAGTTTGATGACGCTATGTTGTTTAGTATTTGTTTGAGAGCCATCAATAGTGAACGCTCTCAGTGAATTTGTAAACATGGAAAAAATTGGTTATCGTTATGTGATACAATACTTTCATTTGAAAGGCCTTAGTCCAACCAATATCAAAGCGGAGCTAGATTCTTCTCTGGGGGAGTCTGCTCCTTCGTTTACAATAGTAAAATATTGAGTGGCAGAGTTTAAACGAGGCCGTACGAGCTGCCAAGACAAACATCGCAGTGGTCGACCAAATGAGGTGACCACGCCAGAAATGGTGAAGAAAATCCACAAAATGGTATTTGGATGACCGTCGACTGAAAGTGCGCGAGTTAGCAGACATGGTAGGCATTTCAAAAAGTGCTGTACATCGCATATTGACTGAAAATTTAGACATGAGAAAGCTGTGCGCAAGATGAGTGCCGCAATTGGAACAAAAGCAGCGTCGTGAGGATGTTTCAATCGAGTGTTTGGCGAAGTTTCGCAGCAATAAAGCCGATTCATAACCATGGATGAAACATGGGTCCATCACTTCACACCTGAGACGAAGGAACAGTCAAAACAATGGACCAAGGTGGCTTGATGGCTATTTTGAGGAGCTCCCCGACGATTCCCACTATAAACAGAGTATCGAAGCTATTGAACATCGCTGGGAAAAGTGTATTGAGCTAAAAGGAGACTATGTAGAGAAATAAAGATATTTTTTCCCAAATTTTTTGTGTTAGGTCAGGTACTTCAGGGACTACCCTCGTATCTAATCCGGAAACCTTTGTGTCTAAGCGTTCACATGTCCCATCAAACCGCGTTTTGCATTTTGAATTGTTATCGAGCGTACACACGATCGACTATAGCTCAGTAAACTCAAGGATAACGCATGTGTACATATGCTTATGATGCATCGATTGACCAGAATACACAGCAAGCGTACGGATACCTCGGTTTATTCGTATAGAAAATGACGTCACATTAGAGTTACCAGATGCAAAATGACTATTTCCGAGACATTTTTTATGTTGAAAAATAGATTGTTGGAGTTTTAGTTAAATTTGACAGACAGAAGATAAGACGGTTGAGATGTCGTTAAGAGATGTCGTTGCTTACTTGCAACGAATAAATGTGTGAATTAGATACCAGCAGAGAGAAGTTTAGACATAAATCATACCCTTGATTGACCCTTCTTTTTTTTTTACTATACGAATGGTTTCTCAGGTCGCACGTCAAATTTTTCGACCTTATAAATCCCAATGATTGCTCTCACATTTCTCTCTGGTACCAGTTAAAAACATGAATATTATGATTATAATTTTCTTAAAATTCTGATTTTCCAAGACAAAAGACTTAAATTCCGGGACACGGGGCAAACTTCAAAAAATTCCGGGACAATCCCGGAAATCCAGGCCATCTGGCAATCCTACGTCACATGCAACATACAGACACACCAATGGAACGCGAATCATAAATGGGAGAGAACGTTTCTTTCGCTCTCTCCCTTCATTCTTTCTCTTTCTCTTTCTTCTTCGGTTCCATGCACGTGGAAGAGATCCCATGCCGTTACATAGGATTTGCGTTTCTTCTTATTTCCCGTGACACCCGTGCATTTCCCGTCTTAGAAAGCGAGCGGACTTCACGATACAGTAGGATTGAAAACGCGTTTCCTTCGTCTGTGGCTTTCGTTGCGCTTACTTTGCCGGAATGAAAATCGGCACTGCTCTCGCTTCATCTTCACCCCGTGAAGATCCACTGTTGCTGCCCGAAGACTGCGGAGAACCTGTTGAGAGTAGAAAAACGCAGCTGTACACGATCTCGATCGAATTTCATAGCGAACGCGTTACTCACGCGTTTCTCTCTCGCCTACACGTATGGATTCGTCACTTTGTCGGAACTTAGGTAGGATTTCAAAGCTACTCACGGCATAATAACATCATGTTATCTTTTACGAACAGGATTTTCCTGAAGGACACGATTACGCGACTGTCGTGTTCGGGTTGGAAATCGAGTTAAGTCGTAAATAAGAAGACAGGTTATCGTCAAGGTCGTTCACGATCTTCTCTTTTATTTATCTCGCGATGTTATCTTGAGGAAAAATTTCTCACGTTTTCTCTCGAAATCGAGGTATTCCGCTGGATCAACTTGGCAAACACACACATTCACGTGTGTGTGTGTGTGTGTGTGTGTGTGTGTGTGTGTGTGTGTGTGTGTGTGTGTGTGTGATTCTCTCTTTTTTCGGTGCGCTAATATGCGCTTTCGCTCAAAGGCAACAAAGGGATGCACGAAAAATGGTGAACGTGGCTAAACGCGCCGAAAGCGCGTGTTCGCATTCTTTTGCTTTTTATTCACGTTTCAGAAAGCATTTCGCAAGCAGGAGAACGGGGTAATAAAGCAGGGATGCATCGTCAGATCGCGAGTATCGACGTACACATTCGTGTATATTCCTTATGCACCCTTTATCTTGCTCGTAAATACGTATCTTCCGATTCGGCGCTGCATTCTATCGTGCCGAGTCGTAAGTTGACTGTTCTCTTCCAAGTTTTGAACCGAATGCGATTACGCGGCATGCGAACTCGCAATTACTACGACAGTCGGTGAATTTACGAATTTCTTGTTTTGTCTTGCAAAAAGAGAGAGAGAAAGAGAGAGAGAGAGAGAGAGAGAGAGAGAGAGAGAGAGAGAGAGAGACAGAAGGGTGGAACTTTGTGAGAATAGTTCTGCGCGACTAAGCAATAAAATATATGACCGTAATAAAAGCACATACGAAGTATCGCTATCATAGAGGAAACTTTTATCATAGAAGAAACACAAGTTCGATGTAAAGAGTGGAAGGTATAATGTACTCAAAAAGATGTTGCCTGTTAAATTGTAGGCGCGTAAAGTTTACGGGGCGGTGCGTAAACTTGAAATTGCCCGTTGTCACTTTTTAACACATTGCGTCGCACCCGCTCTTTCCGAGCTCGAGACAACTTTGACTCGTGAGAGCACAATTCCCGACTAACGTCACCGCGGTTGTGTCACCAGAAAGAAAGTGTCCGATTCAAGTATCCGGCCGCTTTCACGATAATCGTGTAATTATTCGTGTAATTCGCGTGCTTACGCCGCGTTCTAGCTGGCTTCAATCGGCCCTTCTCTTCCGTATTGTGATGTTACGTCGTCGAATTCATTTCGTTCCGGCATTCCGGCTATTCGTTCTCGAAATTTCTTCGAGCAAAACTCCACTTGGGGAAGGGAATGACAGCCGAGTCACGCGAGGTCGAGTGACTTTTCACTCATACAGAGTGCATTTTCCCACTCCGAATTGTCGAACGAATATTTTCATTTGAAATTGAAGAGCAAATTTGCGTACCGCCGTCATAGAGGAATACATTCACTCCGATCGATCGAAACACTTGGAAGCAGTTATAGGAATGAAGAATTTATCTTGAATCAAGTTAAATATATACTCATGCAATTTTGAGCGACGGTATTTTCGTCGCTTTGTGAAATCTCACTTAAAATCAGTGGAAATTAAAAGAAATTTTCTAAAGTTTCAAGAAATTCATTATAAAAAGAATTCAAAGAGTAATTGCAATCATTTACTAACAAGGAACATCTGTAAAGTATGTCTCCTATTCTGACGGAACTTGGCATATTTGTAGAGTAACCAAAAATAAGAGACTCATATTTTTTTTACCAGCAATGGTTCAAGTTAAACTGCCCTTCAACGTTTCATCCCCTTTATGCTATCTCGATAATTATTGCAGATAGGAAAAAACGTTTTAAACAAAACTTGTACAGCATAAAAAACTGTACAATTCTTGTTTGAAAAGTTTTTTCCTATCTGCAATAATTATCGAGATAGCATAAAGGGGGAGATAAAATGAAACTTTGAGGAGCAGTTTCATCCCTTAAACCCGAATCATTACCGATAAAAAAAATATAGGTCTCTTATTTTTGGCTACTCTATAAATATACCAAGTTTCGTTGAAATCGGAGATACATACTTCGCGGATGTTCCTTGTAAGGTTTTCTTTCTGTCGTATATAATTAATTAATTAATCGTAGAATGAGATGCTGGACTCAAGCAATGATCCTAGCGCAGTTGTGAGACGCACAAAGAGAATCGGATCCCTTTCGATCGTCAACTCGTTGGATGTGTTGAGACAGAGAATGCTGTTGGAATTGGCACGCAGGAAGGCTCTGCAGGATCAGCAACTAATCAACACGAATTATCAATTCCTCGACACCGTCGGAAAGAGATCGGTACCGGAATACGGAGCAGACACCGGTAGAATTACGACGATCCAGCGGCAGCAGCATGTAGAAAGTCGTGACCGGAGTGCAGCATCCGATCGAGCAACGAGCAAGATGCAGCAGAATTGGTTCGAGGAGAACGATCCGGTCTTTCACGAGTCGCAGGACGATCAAATGACTAGAGTATGGCTCGCATTTTTTTGCTCCGCTTTGTATTCTTTCATCTCGCGATTCACCTCGCAATTCTCGAAATTATCGAAAATCATTGCACGAGATAATACCGCGAGGAATCTGTTAGATCTTTAGACTCACGCGAAGGTTCGGTCGTTCATTTTCGATAGCTCAAAGAAGACGTAACTTTATCGCCGCGTGTAAATTGTATTATCGTATCAATCAATAGAACGTAGCTTCGATGCGCAAATTAATTTGTTATAGCTACTATTGGATTTTAAGTGAATGTGCTCTGACAATCTGCGTTTTTCTCGATTATATTGATCCGTAAATTTTAACTACTCTCTCAACTTGCGAAAGAGTATTACATATATGAAACTCGTTCCAAATTCCGAAGATCAAGCTTGACTCGTTGAGAGAACATACAAATTCCGCGAAACTACCCCTCTGTGATCTTTAGTTTTCTTCTATCAACTACCCTGTTACGTTGCAATTAATTACGTTAATCTTTCAGGCTAACGAGCTTCACCTGTTGTAACCGCGCCTCGACTTGCAGAGAAAGACTCCAGAAATTCACTGGCATCTCAGCTTTGTCGCAACTTAGGCTCGACTACCATCATCGTTGGGTTTCATCGGCCGTTTCTCTTTCCGTTTATCCGTTCCTCTATTAGACTAATAGTTGTGAACTCCGATCACGCGAAGATTTATCCTTCTTCCTGGCGAGACGAATACTGTCAATCGCGAAATTTTACGAATTAGTGACTGATAAAGGTGCAGAATATGCCTCACCGAAGAATCAAATTGGAAAAACGCGAAAAGAAAAACGAATAAACCACGCAGTATTCGATTTCTCTTTATATTTTGCCGCTAATTTCGCGTGCTTATTTACTGCTCGATTAAACCGTAATAATATATGAGACATTCTTGTATTTAGCCTCCTGAAAATGGGTAGGAACGAGAATCGCGATAACGTCGCTCGACGACGCAGATGCGATAACATGTGACAAATTCGACCATCGCGTGCAACCGATCTACGAACATTCAAGCTTCGGTAAAAGCTATAGTCTCATTCTCTCTCGCATATTCTCCTCGCTTTTATCTATCTACCTGTCTGCCTATCTACCTATTTATCTACCTACACTTCGCACACGAAGAAAGATGTAACGAAGCAGTATTACGTATTGTGATTTCCTCTAAGCTCTTCTGTACTTCACAATGACTACTTGATATACAATGTCCTCAGTGCGTGCTTAACTTAATTAACGAAGCGTCTCCGTCGTAGCTTTATCGATAATACTCACTACGACCGGTCAGTCACGGTCACACAGATCGACGTGAACAAGAATGCGAGTCGGTCACGCTGATCGCTCGCTCTTTTGTCAACGATAAATGTACAAAACATATATTTAACTTGGTGGCATCGATAGTCTTCGTTTTTGCGTACATATATGTATACCTGGCATCGGTGTTATATACGTGAGGTCACATACTCACTATACGCGCGACATGTGTGTGTGTGTGTGTGTGTGTGTGTGTGTGTGTGTGTGTGTGTGTAGGTGTGTATATGTATATGTGTGATGTATGGGTGTGTGTATATTGTAGTTCGCAACTGCTGTTCAAACGAGATTTATTTTCTGCGTGTTTGTTGTTAATCGACTAGAGGCTGTCGGCAATACGCAAATTCGAACGTAATTAACAATCTCTCGAGCCTCCAATGAAATAAAGCCGGCGGTCGGGTGCGCATTGATGTCTGTTTATGTTGCAAAAGACTATCGAGTACCGTACCGCACTGGATATTAATAAGATCTCCACGTGTATAACATACTGCTTTGAGTATTTATAATTTTATGATCGCGTCGTCTTCTTGTATCTTATGTATTTATCTTATGTATTTATTTGTAATCTATAATACTGTGCTACAATAAGTACAAGAACAGCAAGCATACTTTGCGCGAAGATAAGATGTTTGGCATCGTGTAACACATTGAAGACTTTGCAAAAAATGCGATAGCATGTGTATTACTAACACAGTATTGGTTAACACAGATTCATATGATGCTGTTGTGTTTCCATCTGAATAATATTTCCATTTCTAATTGTTTCAATGTTTCCGTGCAATTCTAGAACATTTTGAAAAATCCAAGAAAGATGTAACTAAATCTTTCAATAATCTATATCTCTCAATGTTAGAATCTAGAATAGATATACTCTATCCTTCAAATATTTTCTTATGATTAAAAGTTTTAATTTATACGACGTAATCTGTCGAAACGATGAGCGAATATATTAAAGTGTGTATGTGTATATTGCATATAGATATTGTAGTTTCTAGAGATTATTATTTGTTTAAAAGAATTAAAGCAAAGTATAATTTCCCTACATGTTGTTCACTGTTACTTTCCTTTTATTATGATATCGAGATATAATCATTTAAAAGAAATATACAATAAGTTATATTATTATACAATAATAAGATATTAATTTTTAAAGTAAGAACACACTGAATATGCCTTTAACGAGAAAAGAAGAAAATTCGAGAAGAAACTTGTAAAAGGTTAACTAAATTGAAATTATAGAAACTCGAAGTTGAAAAAGTTTTTCTGTCTAATTATCATTATTTTCCCAAAATTATAGCCCGTTGAAATCTGCATATCATTCATTATTTAGGTTGGTTCTATATCTGGCTCCGGTCTATAAGACTATAATTTCCACATGCCATTTTCTCCATTCATTATTTAGTAAAAATTTTAACCATTGATTTCTGTCACTTCCTCGATTCCTCATAAGAGACAGTAAATACTCGTAGCAGAAGGCTTCGGAACTAATCTGCGTGTCAGGTTAAAAATTAACAGATTTATAAAGCCCAGTTCCACAACTTGCTTTAAACGGAGTTTAAAGCAAATTGTGGAACTGGGCCTTAGTAAATTTTAGACCTTATATTTCTTCGGATATAAAAGTGTCAGTAAACTGGTGGTTTGAGTCTCGACTAAAGTCACGGAAATCTGAAAACATAGTTTGAGTCTTAGCTAAATTGTTAACAGAGAGGAACGTGAGAGCGGCCAACACGAGGTGTTTTCGACGACACCGACTTTCCGCACTGGGAAAGGACGTCATCTGCATCCATTTTGAGAGGGGAACTACGATGCTACATCCACTTTCGGCGGTAAACCCTGTATGTGGTGGCAGTCCATGCTACATCCATTTTTAGGCGATTTATGTCCGTGCTACAACCATAATAGCATACTTGACAAGCACGGTCTCGCACATTGTTACGCGTTTATAACATGAATTAACATGTTAACATGTGCAAAAAAAAAAAGAATTGACATTGTATATGATTAATATCATGAAGATCATACGAAGTGTCCGGTAATTAGCTACCAACCCGAAGTGTGAGGGTAAATTGGGTTAAGACAAACATAAAAAAGTCCCATATCATTTTGCGAGATTCGCAATAATTATCGAGTTATTAATGACAGAAATCTGAGGAGTAAAAGCGCGCCGACATAGATGATTCGAAAAGCGTTGCAGCTGCTCGGGGCAGCGGTCATGAATCTTTTTCCTAGCGTGAACTAATAAAAAGTGAAAGACTTCTGTGAATCAGTGAAAAATGAAAAATTTTATATGAATTTGTGAAAATCGAAACATTTCACACGACAATTGAGTCGTTCAACATGGCAGTTGGGGCGTTCTGGATAATTCAATGAATACCAAAGAAATCAAAATGATGAAAATAATAATGTCCGTGTAGTCCGAAGGATATTACGTGACACGCAAAATCCGCTTGATATAATATCCAAAGAAAATGTTTCAAAATATGTATGTACAGGTAATATAAACCCTATGCACCGACGAGATATACTACAAAGACTGATAGTCTTACGGGATTTAGCGTACTAGAGAAATTTCCCTGGTGAGGCACCCGGGCGAAAGAGACCGTCTCGCATTTAGCACAATAAAATTTAATGGGAACTAATACTTTTCAATCCTTTTCTTCGGATCAAAAAGATTCAGAATTCAGACATATTCAAAATGTCAATACTTTTTAATAGGTTTCAATTCGACATTTTATACAGGGAAGAAGGACGAAGGGAATGGGATGCCGGCAACGATACATCATGCGTCTCCAGACGTGTCAAATTGTTCATTATAGAGGAGACTTTGATACGGCAACATGTATTCGAATATTTAATCGTCCCATGGACCACTTATATATAATAAATAAAAAAGTAATTAACGCGGATAAATGAACGATTCGTATCAATTTTTCCTTTCCTTATAGAACAATGGAAGAGTAAATCAGTATCGAAAATCGAATGCCGATTAATACCATAAATCAGTGTCAGAAAATTGTCCAATGACAATTTGTTCTCATTTTTCAAGTAGTTACCACTGTAATTTATATAACAAATTAACTCGGTTAAACGATCGATTCGTACCAATTTTTCTTCTTTTATAAAGAAGTGACAGAATAAATCAGTACCGAAAATCGAAGGCCGATCAATATCTAATTTACTCATCAAATTAACGCGGATTAATGGACGATTCGCATTAATTTTCTGTTTTCTTATAGAGAAATGAAAGAGTAAATCAGTACCAAAATTCGAATATCGATTAATACCATAAATCAGTGTCAAAAAATTGCACACGTGCAATGATAATTTGTTCTTATTTTTCAGGTACATACCCCTCTAATCTTATTCAACAAATTAACTCAGATAAACGAACGATTCGTATCAATTTTTCTTGTCTTATACAAAAATGAGAAAATAAATCAGTGCCGAAAATCGAAGACCGTTCAATATCTAATTTTTTCATCAAACTAATGCGGATAAATGAACAATTCGTCTGAATTTTTTCTGTTCTTATAGAAAAATGAAAGGAGAAATCAGTACCGAAAATCGAATACCGATCAATATCGAATTTATTCATGAAATTAACGTGGATAAACAAACGATTTGTATCAATCTCTTTTTCTTCTAAAGAGAAATCAAAGACTAAATCAGTACCGAAAACCAGATATTGATCAATACTATAAATCAGCGTTAGAAAATTGTCCAAGTGCAATGACAAGTTGTTTTCATCTTGCAGATACTTGCCCCACTAATTTACTCAACAAATTAAGTCGGATAAAAGAACGATTCATATTCAATTTTTGTTCTCTTATAAAGAAATTAAAGAATCAGTCAGTACCGAAAATTAAAGACCGATCAATATTTAATTTATTCATCAAATTAACGCGGATAAATGAACGATCCGTATGAATTTTTTTTTCTTATAGAGAAATGAATGAGTAAATCAGTACCAAAAATCGAATATCGATTAATACTATAAATCAGTGTCAAAAAATTGTCCAAGTGCAATGACAATATGTTCTTATTTTTCAGGTACTTACCCCTCTAATCTTATACAACAAATTAACTCGGATAAACGAACGGTTCGTATCAATCCTTTTTGTCTTATAAAAAAATGAGGAAATAAATCAGTACCGAAAACCGAAGACTAATCAATACCATAAATCAATGTCAAGAAAATAGTCCAAGTGCAATGACAAGTTGTTTTCATCTTGCAGGTACTTACCTTACTAATTTATTCAAAAAATTAAGTCGGATAAAAGAACGATTCGTATCAATTTTTATTCTCTTATAAAGAAATTAAAGAATCAGTCAGTACCGAAAATTGAAGACCGATCAATATTTAATTTATTCATCAAATTGACGCGGATAAATGAATGATTCGTATGAATTTTTTTTCTTATTCAGAAATGAATAAGTAAATCAGTACCAAAAATCGAATATCGATTAATATCATAAATCAGTGTCAAAAAATTGTCCAAGTGCAATGACAATTTGTTTTCATTTTTCAGGTACTTACCCCTCTAATCTTATTCAACAAATTAACTCGGATAAACGAACGACACGTATCAATATTTTTTGTCTTGTAAAACAATGAGAAAATAAATCAGTACTGAAAATCGAAGACCGTTCAGTATCTAATTTTTTCATCAAATTAACGCGGATAAATGAATAATTTGTATCAATCTTTTTTTCTTTTATAGAGAAATCAAAGACTAAATCAGTATCGAAAACCGGATATTGATTAATACTCTAAATCAGCGTTAGAAAATTGTCTAAGTGCAATGGCAAGTTGTTTTCATCTTGCAGGTACTTAGCCCACTAATTTACTCAACAAATTAAATCGGATAAAAGAAAGATTCGTATCAATTTTTATTCTCTTATAAAGAAATTAGAGAATTAGACAGTACCGAAAATTGCAGATCGAACAATATTTAATTTATTCATCAAATTAACGTGTATAAATGAACGATTCGTATGAATTTTTTTTTCTTATAGAGAAATGGAAGAATAAATCAGTACCAAAAATCGAATATCCATCAATATCATAAATGAGTGTCAGAAAATTGTCCAAGTGCAATGACAATTTGTTTTTATTTTTCAGGTACTTACCCCTTTAATCTTATTCAATAAATTAACTCGGATAAACGAACGACTCGTATCAATTTTTTTTCTTATAAAAAAATGAGAAAATTAATCAATACCGAAAACCGAAGACTGATCAATACCATAAATCAATGTCAAGAAAATTGTCTAAGTGCAATGGCAAGTTGTTTTCATCTTGCAGGTACTTACCCCACTAATTTACTCAACAAATTAAGTCGGATAAAAGAACGATTCGTATCAATTTTTATTCTCTTATAAAGAAATTAGAGAATCAGTCAGTACCGAAAATTGAAGACCGATCAATATTTAATTTATTCATCAAATTAACGCGGATAAATGAACGATTCGTATGAACTTTTTTTTCTTATAGAGAAATGAAAGAGTAAATCAGTACCGAAAATCGAATATCGATTAATACTATGAATCAGTGTCAAGAAATTGTCCAAGCGCAATGACAATTTGTTCTCATTTTTCAGGTACTTACCCCTCTAATCTTATTCAACAAATTAACTCGGATAAACGAACGATTCGAATCAATTTCTTTTGTCTTATAAAAAAATGAGAAAATAAATCATTACCGAAAACCGAAGACTGACCAATATATAAATCAATGTCAAGAAAATTGTCCAAGTGCAATGACAAGTTGTTTTCATCTTGCAGGTACTACCCTACTAATTTATTCAACAAATTAAGTCGGATAAAAGAACGATTCGTATCAATTTTTACTCTCTTATAAAGAAATTAGAGAATCAGTCAGTACCGGAAATTGAAGACCGATCAATATTTAATTTATTCATCAAATTAACGCGGATAAATGAATGATTCGTATGAATTTCTTTTTTCTTATAGAGAAATGAAAGAGTAAGACAGTCAGTACCGAAAATCGAATATCGATCAATACCGTAAATCAGTGTCAGAAAATTGTCCAAGTACAATGACAATTTGTTCTCATTTTTTAGGTATTTATCCCTCTAATTTACTCAACAAATTAACTCGAATAAACGGATGATTCGTATCAATTTTTCTTGTCTTATAAAGAAATGAGAGAATAAATCAGTACCGAAAATTGAAGACCAATCAATATTTAATTTATTCATCAAATTAACGCGGTTAAATGGACGAGTCGTATCAATTTTTTTTTCTTGTAGAGGAATGAAAGAGTAAATCAGTACCGAAAATCGAATATCGATCAATACCAGAAATCAATGTTAGAAGATTGTCCAAGTGCAATGACAATTCGTTCTCATTCCCGAGTCTTTCCCGAGTCGAAATATTAATTCTACATTGATCCTGCAAATTGCATCCAATTTGAAAAATCAATGTAGAATATCTAGGTGCGCAATAGTGAACAAGCTTTGTCCTACCTGAACGTTACATCTGGCTACTCTCGCAGTCTCGCCCATGATGAGTCTTCAACAGCGACGTATTCCGCAGTTATTTAATACTCGTTTATTTCGATAATGTATATGTACTTAATCCTTATATTCTTAATTTAAATGAGCAATTTTTGTTGATTTTGATTATATATTCGCTTAACAGCGCAAGAAAGAGAACAAAGATAAAAACGTAAATAGAACTGCCTTTGTTAGAATTGCGCGTGAGATAAATATATAAGGATTAAATAATCATATAAGAATTAGAGGAAATGGGAGGGGGATGAAAAACACTTTTTATTCTCATCATTCTTAAAGTTCTTTTTTCCTTTTTTCTTCTCTTTTTTTTCTTTTCTTTTTTCTAATGAGAATGATGAGAATTGTAGCTCTTAAAAGAGCTGAAGCTGCAAAAAGACAACGGTTATGTCTAATAATGCTGTTTCACTAATAGAGATTTTAATTCTGATTCGGTATAATAAGAAAGATAAACAAGAATGAGAAACGGACATTCTAGCAGATTCTAAACGAAAACAGCAATCTGAGCATTATTAGACGAATAAAAATCAACACTTGTAAAATTTATATCAGATTCTAAGATCATTATTCATAGTTTTTTAAATTATGTGCAATTTTTCATTGAGAACATAATTAAAAATTTGTATTCATAAACCTTAGCTTGCCTCAGCAACCTTGCTTGAATAGACATTCATATTTTACGAGAAAAGAAAAGTAGAACTCATGTTACGTGAAATTAGTTTAACGAATAATCAAATCTCAAGCTATTTTTCAGATGATAAACTATGAATGCTGATCTAATTTCGACTCGGGTATGTCCTTACTTCGAGTAAGGTCCGTTAAAATTAGAAAAGTCCTGCGTAATAATAATTACTCGAGGTACCTCGAATACCATACATGATGTATCGCTGTCCTCGGCTACGTCTCTCGGCGCGCTCCGAGTCCTCTCTCCATCCTGACTTCTCGATCCGACGTCCTCCTGGTTACTCCATCGCAGCACCCCTGGATACTCCATCGTAGCACTGGCGACGACACTGACTCTAGCTCTAACACTCGCGCAAGTAAGATTCGGGGACAAAGAAACGCGTATTAACCGACACTGCTCTGCCTCGCGGCATGCGCGTCGTTCGTCGGCCCGAGGCGCAATGTCCTTTCCGCAATCACGGAGTCATATATAAGCGTACGAAAACAAACAATCGGGAAGGCACGGTTACCCCCCACCTTGCCGATCAATGTTAATGCCTGCGTCGTCCGTTAGCTGAAAATGAAAACAACTCGTGTTTTCAAAGCATGCCTGAGAGAGAGAGAGAGAGTCGCTTCAAACTTCACAATAATTATTTACGTCTGTTCCAAGAATCATATTACGCTGAATTCAAACTGTCTCTATTTTGACATGACATACACGAGATCTGCGATCACATCATTGATCTTTCTTTGGACAAGAAAATCCTGAGAGGAACGCTGTTCGAGAATATCACATCTTATGTTTCAGGTGCCTTGCAAATTATCGAATCCGATGTAACAGATCAGAGAAAGTATGAATGCGTCGCTATGAATAACATGCGTGGGCACGGAGTACTCCAAGTCAATCACGTTATACGTGAAACGTACGTATATTTAATATTATATAAAACTTACCTTTTTAAACAAAAAGGTAAAAAAAAAGGCGCCAAGTACAAGCGCAACACGTATTGTGTTATTTTTAGAAGTACCAAACTCAAATTATTTTTTTTTATTGTATATATGTGTACATAAGTTTTTACAAGTAAAACTTATAACTATAATAAAACTCTGCAACACTTTTCTACTGTACAAAAGAAGTGATATATTAGAACAGTAGCGCCAACTGAGAAATTCCGACTTCTTATTCCCGGAAAATTCGTCAAACGTCAAACGAAGGGCAAAAAGTGTCGTCGCTCGCGAGCCGATCAACACAATCGGCGCGATGTAAACATTGCGGACCTCGGCGGCGGTTGAAGCAAGAGAGACTTGCCCTTGGGCATCTTTTCTTTTCTCGAAGGTTCCGGGACAACGAGGGAAATGCGAGGAGGCCTTTCAACTGTACGCGACATTGATTTACTACTTATTGATTACTGAAAATAAAGAAAATTATTCTGTCGAAGCATCGGATATTTGTTAGCTTTATGTTAATTAAAGAGGAATGTGTACGATTAGAAAATATATTAGTAACTAATTGTACAGAATGTCAAAGTTGTTGTAACGCCGTTTTCGGAGAATAATTAAGGGTCATGGTAGCGTTAAAGAGTGGAATTTCATCTCATGCGAATTTTGTCTCGTTCTTATTAAATGTTAGATTATCCGCTGCGGACAATAACTCTTCTACTTTTCATTTAATATTCAATGATGATAAATAACATTTAATTGCATTCGTTTGGCTTTTTTATTTCGAAAATAAGAAAATATATACCGGGGTGAGATTTTACCCATGACAACATTAACGTGATTTTCTTTGATGCTTTTTTTAAAAGTTCAAATATTTCGTCGACTCGCGGGATATTTATAATCGGAGTCTCGTCACGTTAATTACGTGAATAACACGTGCTCCTCCGAGCGGATCGAATGCTCACCGACGGCCATTGTCAGTGCCACGAGCGAATGTCCGGAGCGGACGGGATGCTGAATTAAAAAACAGGACGAAGTGAACGGGACGCGGACAACGATACATCATGCGTCTCCAGACGTATCAAATCGTTTATTATACAGGAGACTTTGATACGGCAATATATATTCGAAGATTTAACATTTAATACGTACTTTTATTTTTTCTGCTCCTCCCCCCCTCTCCCCCGCTCTTTTTAGACCACACGGGCACAGTCTGGCATAGAGATGGCAACTGTCATTGCAGCACGGACATAAACCGCCTGAAAGTGGATGTAGCATGGACTTCCACCATATGCAGATTTTACCACCGAGACCTGAAAGTGGATGTACTATCGTAGTTTCCCTCTCAAAATGGATGCAGATGGCGCCCATTCCCAGTGCGAAAAATCGGTGTCGCCGAAAACCCGTGTTGGCCGCTCTCAATTTCCTTTCTGATGCAGCCATGCCCGCTCTCAGGTTTCTCTCTGAATGCAGACTCTCTGGTCGGTGTCGTCGAAAACACCGTGTTGGCCGCTCTTATGTTCCTCTATTAATTTGTAGCCAAGATTCAAACATTTTAAAATCTCCGTAAAGTTAGTCGAGACTCAAACCACAAATTAAAATTTTTATTAAATAATAAACAATATATAGATTAAATGTGCTATAATTTGAATAAAAATAATTGAATGAAAATTTGAATAAAAATAATGACAATAAAACGATTCAGAAAGCAGTTCAAGCTCAGAGTTCTTAATTTTCAACACTACAAAGAGCTTAAAACCGTCATAAATATATCAATTTACATAAGAAGTAACGATCGTTTTTAATTTTCAATGTTTTTTTCAGTTTGATCTTTTACATTGCAAAATTATTTATATTAAAAATGTGATATACACATCTTAAAGAGGATATTTTAAGCTTGTTATTCATTGAATAGCCGATATTATGTATCGATATTAATCTTTTATAAACGATCGTATTGAAAATGTTCGCAAAAACAAGAAAATATTACCTTGCAACGTTTTGTTACAAGAAAAATGTTATAGTTAATAAAAAATAACAGTATCGTCTCCATAATCACAATTTTTCTTTAAAAAAGTTTATTTTTTATTCATTGTCGATGTTTATACTCTTAATGATACTATTACAATTACAACATATATTCCACCCACTTGCTATGGATGGAAATAATAATATGGTTTTCTGTAAATATAAAGTTTCTCAAACTGTTTCGCTGTACAGAGTATCACGACTAAAAAATATTAATATACATTTCTCTTTGTGAATTTCTCTCAGAGTTCCTGGCGCTTCTATTATAGACACGTTAAATTACGTCAAAAGTAAGATATTATATCAACTGCATTTCACTGATTGCATTCAGCACAAAAATGTGTTACAATTGTAATATTCATGAATCTAATTGACGTTATTATGAATTTAAATGGTTTTAAATTTGACTGAGTCCAAAAGGATGCACCAATTAGATTCATGAATTTTACGACAATGCAAAGCAGCTTTTTTTGCTGAACGTAGCCCTTATTTTTATACACCGATATAAGTTTTTATTACATATAGGTTAAGCTTCTGTTCAATAATATCAGTGATGCACACTGAACACTTTTTCTTTAATTTTGTTCCTTTAATAAGTGGACATGTAATTCAATTTATGCGTACTTTTTTAAAGTGCAAATGGATTTTATATCTTATTAATCCACGAGTCGAAAAAACTTCAAATTTTATGCACATATAAACAAATTTTGCGCGAATAATTTTAAAAGAAAAAAAGAAAGCGAGGAAGAGAAAGAGAAAAACGGAATAGCTTATACTATAATATAATAAATCACTAGTAATTTCTCATTTTTGACGTTATGATCTACTAGATCATACGGCTACAGCGAGATGCCAGGAGCTTTAGAAGAAATATTAAGGGAATGATCCACAAATAATCACTTGTAAAACTAAAATTGTTCGTCATTAGATACAAGTCTTGTCAAGAACTTTTGCGAACTTATTAATGCTATAAAGTTCATGCATAAATAACTATTAATTGATGAAAGTATGTACGAGCAAAAATTGAAGTACTGAATACCGAGAGTAAAAAAAAAACTTAAATGAATATACAGGATGAGTTAAAATCGCCGGATAATACTTCAAAGATAGATTCTTTGTTGAATTTTAGAGTTGCTTACAGATAAATATTCCGATAATTAAGCGCATATAATTAAATCTTCATTGCAACTTAATATAAATTCACGTGTAATAAAGACTACATTAAAACGACATCTAACGCAGATTGGATACAAAATAAGGTAAATGTCATATATATGTTCGTACCTAAAACTTAATTACGAATAAAACATGTGATACGTGCAAATTTTATAAATTCAATCGTGCGTCATCATATGACATAATTATTTACGATTTGTCAATATTTTTATTTTCATAATGACTAACGTTCTAAACCGAAACAAAGAATCCATCCGTCGCTTTACACGCGAATTATCCTGTATAATGTACTAGAACGAAGACAAAAAGGGCGTGACGAAACATCGAGCCGTTGATGCAAACTCGGGTAACTTAAAATCGTAATATCGCCATATAAACCAAATACATACTTCACTATATGAACGCAATCATAGTTTACGAAGATCAAGAACAAATACACTCCCGTCAGAGGCGGATGCACCGACTTTATCACCACGACTATTCCAACAAACTTCAAAGATGCCGCCTGTGCCTTTGTAGCTGTGTACCAATTGACCACTCTGTTCAACCAAACAGAAAGAGAAGTCAATCAATTGTGCTCGCAACGGAGTTACATCAAAGAGAGTAAAAATAAAAGACTATGAACTATGGTACTCACCTGTGTTGACCATATGTGTACACATTTGTCAAAACTACCACTAGCAAGAAACTTTCCATCAGGGCTAAAAGCTACACTGTACACAGGTTCAGTGTGTTTTGTCAATGTGTGTATACAAACACCTCGTTCCACATCCCATAATCTGACTGTAGAATCAAACGATGCGCTAGCCAACGTCAAGTTCATATTCGGGTTATGCGTACCCGGACCTGTTGGCGACCACTTGATTGTATAAATTTCCTTGCTGTGCGCCTGCAGATCATGCACCCAAGAGTCCTGCTTCATAGACCAAATTTTCAAGCTCATGTCATCTGAGCAACTTGCCAACAGATTGCCTTGGGGATCCCACTTGATCGCGTTGACTTCATTCTACAAAACAGAAAAGAAAGAAGGAGAAAGAGAGTAGGAAAAAGAATGCTCACAAAAGAATGTATCGCGTGGGAATTCTAATACGTGTATACATACTGTATGTCCTTGGAAGCTCTTGATGGGTTTATCGACGTTGAGTTTGCACACGTGTATACACTGGTCCGTTGAACAACTGGCAAACGACGTGTTCGTCTGCCAGTCCACATCTAACGCTGGCGCACAATGGAAACTAAACTGCTGCGTACACTGTCCACTCTCAGCGTCCCAGATAATGGTCGTTTTGTCCACACCAGCGCTCAATATGTAATTACCGCGTTTATTCCACTTCAACGCGAAAATTGGACCTTTGTGTTGACCTAAAGTAGATGCTAACCTACCGTCAGTAGTCCATATTCTCGCGTAACCATCATAACTTCCTGTTGCCAGTAAAGTGCCGTCACACTGCAATAAATTTTTTCATGTAATTAATTTATACTCTTACAGCTCACCTCATCTCTTATCGAAGACAAAACAAAGATATCTTCGCAAAATTAATCAGATCAATAAGATACGTTTAATCTCCGTTCACTCGTACCTTCCAATCTAACGACGTTACGTCCTTGTTGCTTGGAACTTCCGTTCCGCCTTTTTGAATACAATGACGTAGAACAAGTTGATTAGGAGCCTGCGAATTGTCCGACATGTCCCAGATACGAGCGGTGCTGTCACCTGAACCGGAAGCTAACAGATCGGTTGTTGGGTTCCAAGCGCATATGAAAACTTCTGATTCGTGTCCTCGCAATTTTGTGGCTTTGCTCGCGGGGATTTCAACTGCGCTCACGTTCGAACCCGCGCCTGTTCCTGGTTGCTGTTCGTCCACCTCCATCTCCGTTCTATCACCTCCTCGGTCATTACTGCTAACGCCCTCGTTGGACGTGACAACTGAAAAATATTCAAGAATTATTTGACGATTGGGTCCCTTAATGATCGAACACATTGTCGACTCCTTTAAGTATGTTATGTGAATGGAAAAGATATCTTTAGCAAGAGCAAACATATATATAACGGTAAAAAATTGTATTTTTGTGTATTTTATCGGTTTATCATATTTGCGCTGAATTTAGGAACCAGAGAAAACGAGAAAAACACTCGAAAATTCAAAAGAAGAATAAACGAGTAAAAAATTAAAAAAATTGTACACAAATCGATGTCAATGCTGTTTTGAGTGATAAAGATATTTGATCGTCAAATAATTATGTATATATGTATAATATACAGAGTATTAAGCATGATTATCCACAATTTTTAAGACGCTTCTAACAGTTTAAAGAGAAAGTTGTAAGATAAATATTTATCTGTTATACAAGCTACTATTAGTAACAAAAAAATAAGAATCTTTTTTTCTAAAAATCAATGGCACTAAATTTTTAAAATGTCACTAAATATTCTTTAAATTGTTGAAAATTTCTCAAAAATCATACAGACCATTACTCTAAACTCTGCATACTCAGAAATAAGGAGTATCAGAAATAAGCATCTTTCTTAAAAAACATTAATAAATAACAAAATATCTATTTACTAGGAATTACTGAAGCAACAAGATACAACAGGACCTTGAAATTTAAAAGAGAAAAAAAAACAAATTGAATTGATAAACTTTCTTCTTGTAATCTTCAACACTTGCATTGTGTATGAAAGTGTTATGTTGTGTTGTTCGCCTTTAGTTAACAGACAAATCGACGAGGGAGTATATGCCTGTGTCTTTCAGCATTGTGACAAACATTTATAGAAAGTATCTTTCCACAGAAAGATTATTCCATATAACCGTAATACCAATACGAAAGTAACAAGCAAAATAATCCACAAAATGACCGTTATCCATGGCTGTTCCAAATTAATTTGCCTGGTTATAAGGAGGTCTATGAAAACTTGGGACTTTTTCATACCAGGGTGTACCAGGCCCAATGCATTATCTCTACATTTAGTATAAGATTTAATTTCATTTGTAAACTAAGTGTAAAAAGAATTACATATTCAATGTTGAAGATAAAATTACTGTGTACTAGCAAACAAGTTACCTTCCTCGCCATTTGTATCTTGAATATCTGTTTTTTGCTGTTTCTGCTGATTGATTTGATTCTGCCTTGTAGCAACAACATCTGGCATAACTGCATCGATGAGTGACAAGGACTCCACCATTCTTTGCTCTGTACCATCTTCACCTATCGATATCTCTGCTTCTGTATATTGTAGTCCTTTCTGTAGTATAGAGAGAAGTGCTGCAGGTGGCACTAAGGCTCCATTAATATTACTTTGCGATATGTGGGATTCTATGCCAAATGTGTATGCAGAATGTTGAAAACCTGTAAGAGATAAATATTCAAAAATAACAAGTTCTAAATGAAATATCAAAAAGCCGTATATACATTATTGTTATTATTATTAGGGTATAGACAGTAAAGAACTTAAACAAATAAAATCTATTGCACACACAAAAGCAGTCTCAATTATAGGATTATGAAATATAAATCTCGTATATGTATAAGATGTTTCGTTAAATTTAAGGACTCCATCCAGTTTAAGCTCCAAATCACCTGGAATTTATTACTGAAAGATTGTTATCTTATTCTCTTGAGTAGATACTCTACTTGAGTAGATCACATCATCCACTTTATTATTATACTTGAATTTCTGCAGAAACTTTTAAAAAATACTCAATTTCCATATCGTCAAATCTAAACTATCAAAACTCTTTCCTCGTGACTGCTACGACTAAAGGTTCATGACTCTTCATCTTGAATGTAATCATAATTTTTTCGTATTGTTTGCTGCTTTTCTATTGCGTTATCAAAACAGTACATTCGAGATTTCTCACGAAGCATCGACTCTCGTTCATCCGAGTATCTGGCGAAGTGTGCATAAAGAGAACGCGCGAAGAAGGTTCCCGCTAGGCTACGCGAACGAAAAAGTGGAGAATCAAACAGCGTTCGTCGAGCGATTACGAGGTTATGTGCGGATTCCGTGATCGTACCGGATTCTTGCAGGTATCGATAGACCAAAAAGTTGACTTCATCACTGGAGAAGCTCATCGTGTCTGATATCCATACACTAATACGGCATATTTGCGTCGAAACAGTCCATCTGTGTTGTAACACAAAAAATACGACTCTTCACTCCTCTAGGATCCACTATGGACAAACTGAGACTTGCCGCTATGCTGTTCGCCGCGTTGACGTTGACTGTTCATGATTCATTTGCTAGGGGCGTGGATCAGTGGGAGGAACGAGAGGAAAGGAGCTAGGGTAATAACAAGCGCTGAAGAATATCGTCGTTAGTCGTTCTTCGTTCAACATCCTAGGACGGAGACAATATAAGAATACATTTTCCGAACCATCGCATTATCCTTTTATACCGTAGTTACAGCTCGTTCAATCCGTGTATTTTTCGTAATCACAAATGAGAACGCGACTGATTTGCCATTGAGTCGTATTCCTGATTCCTTGTCAAGAAGATGGTGACTCGTAGCGGAGAAGACTAGAACTACATTTCGGAAGAATAATTGGTTTGCTGGATCTTTTTTTATTACAAATATGCGCAGTATACCATTAGAGGAGCAGAGCTTATTTAGCTATAATCCGTTTGATTTTCTTTCTATTGCAAGTAGATACAGTTATTTTTGTTCTAATGGCGCAGCTGAAAAAAGCAAATCTCAAAGTTCTGCGATACAATTGCACTTAATCCAGCTAGACTGAAGTAGATATATACGACATTCACGTTCGGGAGCGAGCAACAGTGAGAGAAGCAATAAAGTGCAGAAAGTGCCACGGAACCGCGCGATTAAATGATTCTTCAGTTTCCGTCCTTCCTTTTTTTGAAAAATGGCGATTATACGGTGAGTCACTCGCGCGACATCGTCAGTGGGGAGGTTGTGAACGGCTTGTCAACAGTTGTCAACAAGCAGCAAGATTTCTACTTTGTCGAACGATTTAAACGTGTTGAGTGGAACGACGATTAGTGTCTGCGATTACGTGTAACCGCTTTCTTCTTTTTAATGTGTGAATATACGCGCCAGATAGGGTGATTTGTAAGGCGCGTCGAAAGTGCGGATATAGCACGATTTGAGAGCTGTCAGTATACTTTTTCTGTCCGTTCATCCAGAAATACAAGACTTTGATGAATGTCTGAGAGTGATTACGATTCGGCGGACGAATACACAAGCCTGATGGACGGCCACGTCGCGGAGTCTCGCTCAGACGACCTGATCCTGGTCAACGAACGTCGAAAGACACGCTCTAGGATCGCTAGTGAAGAAGTAATTTTTTTGGCAATATCCACACATCTTTGCATTATCTCTTTCTCACGCGTTAAATTTCTTCTTTTCTCTCTTAAATGTTCCTTGATAAATGTTCGACAAAACAAACAATGCAAGCGTTATTATTATGTTATGTTAATTATGAATAATTATACTTGATAGGTGGATAATGGAGTTCCTGAGGTGAACGTCGAAGTGCCCAGTTCGTCTATCACACGATCGACTATCACACAATCATATACAAGAAGTACATCTGTTACCAGTAATCAAGGAAGGCCGAGGCATTATGATGAAGATGCAGAGGTAGAAAAGTCTGGTGTGGTACATGTGATCAATCTTTTCATCCCTGTCTCTTTGTGTATGCTGGTTGTAGTGGCTACTATTAGTTCTGTGAATTTCTACACAACAAAGGGAATGTACTTGTAAGTTTGTGATAATCGTTTACAAGATTATATTTAATATTAGGTTTTTTAGAGACAAGGCAAAGTTGTTAGATTTACTTCCAGAGTATATACCCCATTTCACGAAGACAGTTCCGACACGAGTACCAAAGTATGGCAAGCATTCGCCAATTCATTGATTCTTATGAGTGTCATCGTATTCATGACTGTGATACTTATTATTCTTTACAAATACAAATTCTACAAGGTCATACATGGATGGTTGATTATAAGTTCTTTATTATTGCTGTCTTTATTCTCTATCTTGTATTGTGAGTGAGTATTTGAAAAAAGAAAGTATTTTAAATATACTATTTTTGTCAGTTACTACCTAAAAGAAAACTTATCTACTTCTACTTGCAGGCAAGTGTTGAAAGCTTATAACATTCCAATGGACTTCTTCACATTAAGTATAGGCCTGTGGAATTTTGGTGCAGTTGGAATGATATGTATTCATTGGCAAGGACCGTTGCAACTTCAGCAAGCGTATCTAATCTTTATTTCTGCCTTAATGGCACTTGTGTTTATCAAATATTTACCCGAATGGACAGCCTGGGCTGTGCTTGGTGTCATAAGTATTTGGGGTAAATCATTTGCCTCATATGGAAGCTTAAGATCAATAATATTTGTATTCTTATTTATGACATTCATTTTTAGATTTAATTGCGGTTTTGACACCAAATGGCCCATTAAGAATACTAGTCGAAACAGCACAGGAACGGAACGAATCTATTTTTCCCGCTCTTATATACTCATCTACGATCCTATACTCATTTACTGTGTCTTATGCTGGATACGTGCAAGCAGCCACAATGGCTGGCAGCGATGCAACATCAGGAGATACCACCACGTCGGGAAACAACACGACGTCTCCTACACGTGATCGAACGGATAATCAATGTAGTTATGCATCAGGTGACACAGAGGAGGAAGGTTTTACCAATGAATGGGTAGAAACGCATGGTATGAGTAGTACGACAGTGTAATTTTCAAAGGTTATTATATTAAATTAACAATATTGCATTATATTAAATTTTGATTTTGCAGGTGAACGTAGTGCGAGACGTGCGCAAGAGGTGCGCGAGAACGATGAAACCAGAGGAACCAACAGGAGGCAACAGGAAAATCGTTCGGTAGAAATACAAAGTCAAGTAGCACCTCCTCCTCCTCCTCCTCCTCCTATGGAGGAACGCGGAGTTAAGCTAGGTCTCGGCGACTTTATATTCTACAGCGTGCTCGTCGGGAAGGCGTCTAGTTATGGCGACTGGAATACCACGTTGGCTTGCTTCGTTGCTATTCTCATTGTACGTATTCTCACATCCGTACATCAGCGTGAATTATAAGAATCTAGCGTAGAAAATCGTAGAAATTTATCACTTTTAAAAATAAGGTTTGATATTTGAAATATGTCGTCGAATATGTCGCTTTATAACAGCTTGTTTTGCATATTATAAAGAATTTGTTTGTTGCTCGTTACAGGGTCTCTGTTTGACGCTCGTGCTGCTGGCTATATGCAAAAAGGCGCTACCCGCATTACCGATTTCTATCACGTTCGGTTTGACATTTTACTTCGCGACGCGTGTGATCGTCGCACCTTTCGCTGACAGTCTAGCAAGCGAACAAGTGTTCATTTAAAAATATCTAGGTATAATAAATATTACAATATCGTTAAGTATAATTTATTACTAGAGTTGAATATCGAAGGACAATGCCCGTTTACTTACCTATTTGGTATCATACGTGCTATGTTCAATCGCATTTCTTCTGATTTTTCAAATTATTTATGTATATATATATATGTATGTGTAAACACAAGTAATTTGTGTACATCAACTTCTGGACTGAACGACTCAAGATACGTATATATCGTAAGAGAATGAAAAGTACCTACATTTTTTAATAACTAGACATTCTCCAGAGAGGTGTGTATATATACATATATATATATATATGTATGTATATGTATATATCTATACAGTGAAATGCTCAGAAAAAAGGAAATAATCTAAACTTGTAATTTAGGAAAATATTGACTAACATATGTATAGAATGTAGCTACTTAGTATTTTTCTATATAAAAAAATTATATGAAACTCAAATGTTAAAAGAGCGGTTGTCGCAACGTGATTTATCGTAAACAAACGGAAGAATGCGCTGCATTATAACAATTTATTGTACTCCATTGTTACACTTATAGAACATAGGTTTCGTAGATCAAGTATAAAAAAAAGCGGATGACGACGATGATTGTTCTTTCTGTCTGTCTCTCTCTCTCCCCCTCTCTCTCTCTCTCTCTCTCTCTCTCTCTCTCTCTCTCTCTTTCTCTCTCTCTCTCTCTCTTTTTCTTTTGAAAATTGTATGAGGTAATATCTATTTGAATAAGTAACTGCCTCCGTAATCTCAATACACACACAATACGCATTTCTCGTTATATTTGTGCCGGAGCGCCGTGTTTACTATTATTACTATTTAGCCAGGGCAATTTTCCTTCCTACGCATCTTGGGGTTTTCCAGTCCGGTTACACACAGCCATGGAATAAATACTTGTTTTTTTTCCCTTTAACTACGAAAAGCATATTTATCGTACTTGTGGCGCTTAGTTGTTATATGGTACTAAACAGTATAACAGCGTTCGAAGCTGAAAGAGTGCGTGATTCTCAGTCTCCTTTCTTTTACCTTTTCCATTTTATCTGACAACCGACCGAAATACATCAAGACTGAATATCCTTGGCTATATAATGAAAGAAGCCATTTTACATTATTTCGAATATTTCGAAACTCTCATATGTTGAGGAAAGAAAAGTTTTGGTAATAGTTACTAATTCGCACGAGCCAATTTGACCAGTCGTCATTCGTAATAATGCGGCAATACTTTCATAAAATCGATAATTATAATGTAATAATATAATAAAATAATAATAATAATCATAATGAGAATGATAATAATAATGTGATCACTTTGGTTTAATATTATTCAAATAAATGTCGATGATCGCATAACGGTTCCAACTTTAACGATGGTCTGCTAAATTCCTCACTATACATTTATATAATATACATACTATAAGTATTATGTATATAACGATATACGTACGTATACATATACAAATGTACATGTACGTATATATACGTACAGAATCCCCGGAACCGGAAGAACTTTAACAGCGATATGATGTCTTTTCGCGCTTGTAACACCGCGATTGCACTATCTTGCAAGTTGATATAACATCAGAACATAATAAAGATTGCGGTGTACATATTAACACGGGCAAACAAATATGTAATATATATCGTGAAAATATTACCTCAATCAGGAAACGAAATTATGTTCGAGGAAGACAATCTAATACGGCTTTTTTTTAAATCAATAATCGACCTATATACTTTAATTGATTCGAGATGATTATACGTGCGTGTGTATGTGTTGGTGGAGGTAAATCGCGTGTTTATAATATCACTCCCAACATATTATTTTCTTGGTAACAATTCACATATTTGCTTATCCAAGTTAATAATAATTATATACTAGTGGAAAGTTCCATTTCTTCTTTCAATCCCATCGATTGATCTTTTAGTTTGGATCGCGCGTACAAAACATTACTCTTGACGCATAAAATAAATACTCTTCGACTATTGTGAACGAACTATCCGATGTCCCATGCTCACCGTTGCTACTGATAAGCTCTTGCACGATTTCTTGTGATAAAACACGTAATTTACAATAACGTCTGTGTTCGCGTTAACATAACCGAGAATTATTTCGACTACAAGATTCGACTATATCGCAGGAAGGTACACTTCGTGATTGTGGATTCTATCAGGAGAAAGACGTTATAGGAAAATATCTGTAAAAGATAAAATAAATCACTATGATGCGATATGTGTTTCGCTTCCGCCAACCATCATATAGATGATTTTCTCTTTCTCTCTCTCGTAAAGAATATATATCACGTTGCTTTCCCGTTAACATCCTTCACGTGTTTCAGCTTCGCTTTCGACGATGCGTTTGAAATAATAACGGGAAAGAACGTTAATTGTCTAGAACAGTCTTACAATCGCTAAGCTTTTGGAAGCATACATTTTTGTAACGACTAAAGTGTATCACGCTGGACGAGTCCCATAACACACTTGTCACTTAATCATTAATAAATAGCCGTTTATTAATAAATAACATGCTTCTTGAAGTATCGATGAAAACTGTATCGGATTGTCGATACAGACGAAATGCCAGGAGGCAATCTCATAAATTCCCATACAATTTTCCGCAATGTCAACGGTTCAAGAAACACCACAGGCGCGGATATTTAGGTGACTCGTTTTGCGTATAAACACTTGCTTTCAAAACGATTCAATTTTCTTCTCTCGACACAGTTTGGAATATAGCCAACGAGATCTCATGAAAGAATAAATTTTTAATCGATTCTCAAAAATTAAGCTCTCTCATCGGACTATTAACTGCATTTCAAGATGCATCGAGGAAAAGTGTCCAAACTATTTTGAAAACAAATGAACACGTTGTCGCGCGCAATTTATTAATACTCTTTTCTTCGCCCTAGCTGCTGCATCTTCATAAATAAGACAGAAAACGAAAATGAAAAGTAAACAATTGTAATAAATTGTAAACGTACGTTCGTCCGTTACGTTATTCTCATTCGAACTTGTTCACTCTTCCGCATGTGGAAAAAGATAATCGATACAGCATACACGGGTTACCTTAGCAGGTACCGTACTTGCTGCTCTCGAACATGCCGCGTCTGAAGAATGGACTGAATTCCAGCAGAGATTGCTTGTCTATGTTGCTAAGATTGCCGTTGTGCTTGTATAATGGTTCACAATGCGGCAGCTCTGAGCAGACTTGAATCAATCGGCGAAGATATTCTTCGAGGCGTTTCCTGCGCTGTCTCGCTACAACCTCATATTTTGGAAAAACTTGACGCGGAGGGAAGCGTATCGCTGCGACCTGTATGAGCAAAAAATTTCTGTTAGGTAATTGTATATCGCGAGTATAATCGCAGAAGTAATGCAAGCTGTATTTTTTGTCTCAATAATTGACAAGGTTTAAACGCAATTTGTAGTAATCGAGCCTACAAAACGGAGGCATCTTTCAGGATTCGTTGGAGTTGTCAATACGACAGAATCCGGTTACATCAAGATATAATGATAATTAAACGATCGTACCTTGCTACCGTATTTTTGCCGCATCGATATGTACAGCTCCCGGAACCTTCGATATCTACGCAACAGCGTCCAGTTGTCGTCCTGCGCCACGACTCGCACTTCGTACTCGTAATGGCTGGACTTGCCGGCTCCTCGTATCACGTACGATGGTATACTGACGATCATATTGATCACACTGTCACAGTCACCGTCATTCGCTATTAACGACGGCAAGGACCTTGTGATTGTTAGGGAATATGGACTGCTCAATCGGTCGCCGCGATTTTGGCTCTGCGCAGAGAAAAGAACGAGGTATATGATGAAATTGCATTGTCCATTACGATAAGTCGTATTAGCATCTTTACTTGGAATTTTCTAAGCAATTGAGGCATCGCACAAATGAGGAGTACTGCTACGGAGGATAGAAAGAGGGGGGGGGGGGGAGAGAGAGAGAGAGAGAGAGAGAGAGAGAGAGAGAGAGAGAGAGAGAGAGAAAGAGAGAGAAAAGAGAATAAGGAGAATGAACTCACCGTCAAATAGACCGTTGAATAACCGCGACTGGAGGATCGTCTGGGCGGTGTCGTTTCCGACAAAGTCTCTTGATCATTAGTATTAGGCCTGTTATTCCTGAAAAGTTGAGATCTGGTTGTCGCTACCGTTAATAGAATGGCGGAGCTATTATTCGTAGGTTCTACACTACAATAAGCATTTGGTTCGTTCTGTACATAGTCCACGGTGCCCACGTTGGCGATTGCGAGCCTATCGTCGCCGTCGCTACAGCGCGCCGCTGGTGGTGGTTGCCTCTGATTCTTTCGTTCGTCCTCCAACAACGACACCTCCAGCTCGATCTGCTGCTTCTGCAAGTCCTGCAATATCATTATCTGCCGATTCAGGTCCTCCTTCGACGGGGTGCTAGCCTCCAGGCATCTCATCACCATCATCCGTTGACGTGCGATTCTTTGGTTCAATCTCTTCATCGCCGGATTCTGTTGTATTGGAGATTCCAACGAGTCCTGAAGGATGCTCTCCGTAAACACAGAGGTTACAGTAGGCGAGCTAATCTTCTGTTTCTTCCCATCTTCATCCTCGTCACTCGTTGTCATCGTCTCCGTAGTGAACGAAGAGGCTTTACCGGCGTTCATTATTGTCGTACCTTCGCTTTCCACTTCCGGTGATTTACGATCGCGCGTCAAATCGTCATCCCTACTCTCCTCCTCCTCCTCCTCTTCTTCTTCTTCTTCTTCTTCTTCTTCTTCTTCTTCTTCCTCCTCCTCCTCCTCCTCCTCCTGTTCCAGCAAGTCTTCATTCTTCGTAACGGAGTCGCTCGTCTGCGTCATGTCGGCGTCCACGAAGACTACAGGAGGATCAGGAGAATCAGCTGCCGCTGTGTGAAACGTCTCCATGGTTTCGACAGAACTCGGCACACTTTGTGGCAGTAAATTCAGGGCCGAGGCGATCTGGAGTTTCCGATTGTTCGCGTCCTGGAAGGACTTCATGTCGCAGCTGGACGTAGTCTCGTCGCCGCTCGACGAACGATCGCCCGGTGAGGCCGGTAGTGCGCGCTTCAGGTTCAACGAGAGACTTTGCTTCCGCCGTAGAATCTCCTGTAGCTGCTCTTGCGTTCGCTTAGCCAGAAACAATTTTTTATCCGTCACTCCCTCATCAGCAGACTGAAAATTGTCAGGTGAAGCCTGGAGCAAATGAGTGACGAGCATGCTCGCTAATCAAAATGGACATTGCAATGTCGCACGAAGATATCATTTTGCCTTTTATTTTACATATTGAAGCTCTAAATTGTTTATCATATAACAAAGGTAAACACACGCGAAATAAAATCTCGTATACGGCAAAATTTGCATTATTTGTTGTCGCATCGGCAACTAATACCTTCAGCGTACAGCTAAACACACGTTGTCGATTGTTCTACTATTTTACCTAAATCTTCGCTGTGTAGCAATTTCCATTTTCACTAGTGTTAATTTCGCGCGCACGTTACATACTTCTAAATGAAACATGTGTTTCTGTCTCCTTGAGATCTCCATCAGCTCCTCTTCCATCTTGTCCACCTTACTTTGATGTTCGTTCAATGATCTCACTTTGCTCTGCAATTCGTTCTCCAAGGCGGCCAGCTCTTTCTTCTATTTTAGGGAAATCGTTTCTCATTAGAAAGAAAAAGGCAAATCGACCGATCGGGAAATGATGATGATGACTCACTTACGTGATTATTGACCAATTCTCTAACGCTGTCGATGCACTTCTCGTCGTTGTTCAGGCTCGACCACGACTCAGGTAGACTGCTATCACTTCCGGCACCATTATCTGTCTGAAATGCACATTACGCTTCATTCACACGCAAACGTGTACGATGCGCTGCAAAATGGAACACTCGTTTCTTAATATAATCGCACACGGTCCAACGTCCTCTTTAGTACAAGAACACATTTGGTCCCGTAGAAAATATTCGGTTCCGTCGTTTTACTCATATCCACGACGATCAACAAGAAATGTTATGTGCCGTATGGACCGTTATAAAAAAAAAAGAAGAAAAAAATGTCATTATACGAACGTGGTGCGAGTATGCGTGCGTGCTACAAACTCGAAAAAAAAAAAACAACCGTTCGGCTTCTCGCGAGAGCCTCGCAGGCTCCTTACCTTCTCCCATTGATGATGAAAATTTTGCGCGCGTTCGTGACTGTTCATGATCTCTTGAAGCTGTCGATGTTTGGACTGCAATGTCGTGCGTAGAGAGGCGATTTCCCTACACATATTTTCTACCTGGTACCACACACATACACCGAGGCGTTAACAAAAAAAGAATTCAAAATCAAACATAAGAAAATGCGAGGTCTCTCGGTATGATAGTTGTGCAAGTTTTCGTCGCACGAAACAGAAGAGTTAAAAATTAAAACCGCGTCGCGAAATAAAACAGCTCGCTTACGGTCGCTATGAAATATGTATTTCTACAAAAATGAAGAAAACCGAAGAAAAATCCAAAGGACAGATAATAATCAAATATATAAATACATGTTATCTACGTGCGTTCTCTTCAAATTGTAAAAATACGAAAAAAGCGAATCGATCGCCACAGATAACAAACTCGTATATTAACGCATATATATATATATATGATATATATATATATATATGATATCGATCTCTAATGTGTTACCTCTATATGCTTACACTTTCAACGTGCTAACAAAGGAACGAATGTTCGATACAAATTAATAGACATACAAATTAGAGGATAAACAAACAAACAAATAAATCGAACGAACAGCGCTTGCAGTGTTCATGTGTTGCGTTACTTCGGGAGAAAGAGGGAAAGTAAGCGAAACTCTCCCGTTACTCTAAACTCGGTTAGCACTCGGAATAATAGTTGTACGTGCGATGCAGGTTGTCACGAGGTGAGACGAGACGGTTAAACGAGAAATTGGGTTTGTTAATCAGGAGCGTTAAATTGATCGAATACGTGATTCTTAAGAGTTTATAGTGAAAAATAACGGAAAGAAATACAGAGTGAGTGCGATAATTATTTCGTGGAGGATTAAACGCCAATTTTCGTATGAAAAATTTATTAATCAACAATATATATTGTATGTATATATATATATATGTGTATATATATAGATGTGTGTATATAACAATAATTATTTCCTTTGTATTACATCTCGCATAACAAACCCATAGACGTTTCTATATAAACAAGCCCAGATATGTACATACTTCATTCTTAACATTCTCAGCTAAGGTACTTAATACATAACATTCCAAGGAATGCCATCTGTCCGGCAATATCTCCTCAACACTAGCACCTTTTTTTCCTTTTGTGAGAAGACGTTATATCTTATTACTCATATATACGCTGACGCGTATAAACGACACGCAATTTATTAACATAACACGATCTGTAGTAAACGGCAAATATTAAGAGTTATTCGTAAGTAGGCGCAATATTCGAAGATTCCTAACGACTGACAGAGGAATCGAGAGACGGAATCTCGTATCATATCAATAAACAGTGAGCGCGCAAAATCCATCACAAACGATGAATTGCACAGAGTTTAAAGGGAATTATACACATCGGCAGGCTTGACGGAGTTAAAAAGGTACTGATAAGTGTTACCGTTTAATCGCAAAACTTGCTTGAAGAATTGCATCGTTCGACGTATCCTCTGCTCCTGAGATGTCCAAAGAAAATTCGAACACTCATGAAACCGCTTGCGTTCGTCATGTAATCGCGGCATCGATTCTGTGTCACAAAGGAACACACGAAAAACGAGACGGGACGAAACGAACAAGACTTCACAACCACGACCACGTACGCGCACGTGGAGGATCACATGTTTAACGGGCAAACGTGCGAGTAGATGATGATGTTGCCAGACAAGCAAATAAGGACACCGAGAGCGACAAGGACGAGGTAGAACTGATACTTGATCGAGATTACATTCAAGTCCGGAGACGGCGCATCCGAGTCACTTACTTGAGTCATTTCGTCTCGCCGTTCTTGCTCCAGGTGATGCCGTCGCACACGCAGCTCCCGTTGTCGCGATTCCAGAGAGGCGATCGCGTCCGCCCATTCTTTCCACTGAGCACCCCATTCGCGTTCCAGCTCACGCTGTGCTCCTTCGAGCGCTTCTCTCCTAGCGGCCCATCTCTCTTCGCGCTCTTCTTGTTCCTTCTGTGAAAACGATCATGGTTACGAACACAGATAATCGGACTGAGAGACTCTTGTCTGAGTGACTTTTTGCATACTATACTCTTTGAAACAAATTACTGTAGCACTCGACTATAGGCCTGATAATTCTTCAACTCTAAATTAATAGAAAAATTAAGTATTCGTGATTTAATAATAATTCGACGTTTCCAGGAAACACCACATAAAATATGGTACTTAATTTTTGTGACAAGAAGTAGTAGAAGAGACCCAATACACTTTATTCACGAACCTTGAAGTCCTCTTTCTCTTTGATAAGAGCGGCCTTCTGCTGTTCCAGCTCCTCGGCCGCCCTAAGGTCTTCGCTAGAGTTCAAAAGATTATCGCTGGAAGAGGAGGCGTGTAGATCGGAAACGCTCCAACTTAAAAGCGACAGCCTCGACAGATTAACAACCGTTGATTGGAGATTGCCGTTGCCTGAACCGCCTTCCTTCCGCAGCTTCGCCGCCTCGGCTGGATCGTTGTATCGGAACATGTTATTTCTGCCCAAGAGAATGATACAGCCCTGCGATAATCGCGTCGGCTTGTCTACTTGGGCGGTGTTGATCCAGCAGTGGGATGAGAGTGGATGCAGCGTCGCCACGCCGCTATCCAGTTCGACCACGCAGTGCTCCGGTTCTACGTCCGCGCCAGTCAATACGATATCCTGTTAGTCGTAACGTAATGCCTTAAGTCTATTTAATCTGAACTTGCTCAAGTTCACTTTAGACGATCTATAATTCTCAAAAACATGTGATATAGGGAAAATTCACAAAATGTTTCTTATGTTCCTTTCTCTTTTTGTTCTCATGCTTATCTTTTAATATCGTCACCTGAACAGTGGGAGCTTCCTCCGTGCCGACTAAGGTTCTGCCTTCTTTTAAGTGGTACAACGTGACGCCGGTACTAAGGAGGTTGTCGTCGATGCCAACCAAATGTGGCATCTCCGAATCGAGAACAACGCCGACCCCGCTCTTTCGTAATCCTAACGCCTTTTGCTCCTGCAAGATCTGTTGCGTCTCTCGCCACTTCTCAGTCCACTCCTCGGTCAATACCTTTTCTTGTTCTTGCTTCTCGTAGATTTGATCTAATAATACCTGCGGCGGTCTCTCCACGCTCTATATAAGCGAACAGATACATATATTTTTCCGAATAATGAAAATGAACAACGGAGAACAACGTTCGCGGGGACATCGGAATACTTGCCATGTCCTTGCTAATCAGAGACTTCAACTTCTGTATCTCTTCCCTGAGCTCTCTAATAAGTTTCACATTCGGATCTTCGTTGATGGTCGGCTTATTAATGATATTTTTCGCACGATTGGCGTATCTGAGAGTGCTGAGAGTCTCCCCATAATTACAATCCGCTGGACTAATCGCTGCTATCATGATGGTCTTGGAATTACCACCCAGGGAGTCTTTCAACAGCCACGTGAGCACGCTGTCTCGGTAAGGAATGAAGACGTTCCGCTTCGAGGCGGATGACACGTCGCTATTCGAACTTAGTTCAGAGAGTGCGGATATCACAGAGCCTAAAGTCACTAGGGACTTGTTAATGTGCGCGCCTTCCTTCAGTCGTTGACCCGTTGCTCCGGTCGCGTTCGCACGTTCGCTAAAGACAGAAAAGGATAGCCGTAAGGATAACCGCGTGATTTTTTGCGATTTTGCTTTGTTTCTGTTGTTTCTCTCTTTTTATCCATTTTATCTTTCTATTCTTTCATGTTCACGGACGACGAACTCGAAAGTAAATTTCGGCTTCGGATGCCTTTCTCGAGACTACCTTCCGGCCAAGTCGACTAGGTGCACCTTGGAAACGGTTTCCGACGGCATGTTGCCTTCCGAGTAGCCGGCCTGTACGAAGGTTATCGTAAAAATCGCGTGACTCCTGCTACTCACGTCGTTCATGTTTGTGCTGGCTGTGGTTCTGTGCGTATTACCTCTCACCATGCATTCCTAGAATGAAAACAAGCGAGAGAAAGAGAGAGAGAGAGGGAGGAGAGTGAACGTGATAGATGAGACGAATACGCGCACTCGACCGGCTTGCGAAGCCGCGTCTCGAGTTACCTGAATATCCGAATAATCGTAGACCAGGTGACTCGATAGATCTTGGACGTAAGGCCCTCGTTTTGGGTGCTCGCGCACCTTCAGCGAATGGGATTGGCTTTCGTCCAGCCTAAGCAGATCTCTTACTTTCTCGTTATGAATCTCCAAGAAAGATACTTCCGTCCTGTACGACGCTCCGCTCTCCTTTCCAGTCGCCATTCTGGCGAATAGTGTCTTGCAAATGCGCGGTATCAATCCTTGAGACTCCTATAGTGAGAACATGATATAAACAAATTACAAAGAAGCAATGAAGAGAAATTATTATTATACATAGGCGAAAACGACTCGTCTTTGTTATTTCCTGAGGTGTACAAGAGAATATTTGATCTGTCGACTCCGACGTGATAAAATGTAACAATTGTTTAGAGACAGGCGTGAAATTGTAATTGTTATGCTGTTTCGTAGAAGCCAAAGTAACATTCAGAGTTCACTTGACGTTTGAAAAAAGTCCGTACATATCAACGTTATTATGTGCAAAATGAATATAGAACAACAGGGGGTTTTTACTGTATAACGTTAACAATAGAAAATAATTGTGACTTCGATAAACCTCACTAGTTTTCGTTAAATGATACTTCAACAAGACAAGTTCTTTTTCGCCCGCAGCAAGAGGAAGAACTGTGAGGGAATAGTCTTTTCCCGACGAGTCGCGCCGCGAACATTACCGGTGTGCCCATCATCGTGAAAGTCTTCCCGGATCCTGTTTGGCCGTAGGCAAAAACGCAGGCATTGTAGCCCTCGAAGGCACTTTCTATGACGTCCGTTCCAAGATCGTAGAAAACCTAGAGACGTGAGGAGAGAGGATTTAGCGACGTCTTCTTCATCAATGAACACGCCGTTGTGACAACAAGAAGGAGGGAGGCAGAAACAAACAGAAGAGAGGTCTTATCTCTCATCCGCCTTCGTTTGAAAGAAAGTGACCTAGCGCAATGTAACGCATGACACGACGTGAACTCACGTCACGAACATTGGCGTAACGATCGCGTACGCGCGTTTTACATAATGGCTTTTAATTAAACCGCAGCGCGTTGACGTTCGTTTTACGTAACAATTATCTACGCAGAACGAAATTGCCGTTGCAACGACCACGTGTTGAGCCTCGCGATGCGATATCCAACGGGAAATATGTATTCATGAGTAACGGTAAGTGATGATTTCTTAGATATGTACATGTATTCGCATTAGTTCGCATATACAAATATCAAAATATTAAAAGCTACGGAAAAGTTATGAGAAAAAATCCATGACGCTTGTCGCAAAAAATGCCTGAGCCTGAGCGTCGTTACTGAAATCGATCTGAAAACGACAGGTTGCTGCGCCTGTGACACGTGATCTCGCTCGTTCATTTTTATTTCCCGTCACGATGATTCACTATCGAAACGATTGAGCTAATTATAACGGGTCGCTGTGCAAGTACGACTATACAATCGGCCCGATCTTTCCGTATACAACAGCGGACATTATCGCGAATGTTTCCAAGGTCGACCAGTCTGATGTTTCACCGTCAAGAGGTGGTGACTTTTACCGCATTTTCTGTTCTTATCGCGTCCAACGGTAATCGAGATCAAAGGGAGGATTCGCGACACGAACCTCTTCCTGGGACACATAGTTCTCGTCGCTCGAGTCGAAGGACCAGTAGGAGTGGTCGAACGTAAAGTCTTTGTACTTCTCCCGGTCGATATCTCTGCAGCTACCCGGTGTCTGTGAACAATAAAACGATTAGTCGTTACTCGCTGAGCGTCGCCGACTCTCGTTATCGGCGCATTAATGCTAAAGTTCAATTGCCAATAGTCAAAGCAACTTTGCGCACGAATAATAAGACTATTGATTTGTCGTACGATCTAAGCCCGAATGCCATCCTGTCTTCGCCATCCTGGAAAATTACCGTATGAGAATCGTCAATTTCTCATGGGAAGCAGACAACGATTAAGTGTTCGCAACGTGATGACGTTGTAACACGTGCCGCACTCTGGTTCACATTACTTATGAGACGATAATGCCGGGAATCGCATTGTTTTGTGCAAAAAACCGAACGATTAAAAAGTAAAACCAAAGAAGTTTTCATGTTAATTTTGCTTTCGCAACTTCATGTGCCGCTCATGATATCAAACGCACAAGCACACTACAATTCGAGAGTGATTTATTAAATTGAAATGTGTAAATGTGCACACACGTGCGATCTTTCGTGCAAAATTAAATCGAAAGTAGGAAACGGCTGATTACGTGAATATAATTTAATAGGTAGCGCTGTATAGGAGAAATCTATTTTACATTTTTAATCTATATTTTTACAATGAGTTTTTTTTCTGCCATCCAGTAGGTGGTAAATATATCCGTCCCCCTCCCTCCCTCTCTCTCTCTCTCTCTCTCTCTCTCTCTCTCTCAATTTATAACCTTTTGTCTATAATAAGATTATAAATCGACCGTCAATGCGTGAATGCATTTTCGATGTAGCACGTCGCGATAAATTCAGGCAACCGAATGGCTCACAAAAAATCACCAAAGCACGATCGATTCACTCACGAGAGTGCTTTACATCAATCGCGATTCGGTACAGTGCTCCAATCTGTGGCGATTAATTCGCTCGCGTCGACTTATCGGAATCGATTAAACACGCTTCGCGCTTTGGAATCAAGGCTGAACAAGGAGGCTGCGTTCGCTTCGTTCGCACTCGTCGAGATTTTCGTCACTCATGAGAAAACTTTGCGCGACGGAATTCGTCTTTTTTGCTCAATCGGGGAAGCAGACAGAGGCCGAGGGAGATCGTCTGGATGAGAATCGATCGAATGCGAATAAAGCGCTGCAAATTATACAACGCGCGATCGGCGATCGATTGCGTGGCTACGACAATCGACGTCGACGAGTCGCCACGAGATCACGAAGCGACGCGTGTTTGTACTCGTCGTGTTTGCGGTCCAGCTGAGATTTTCGCACTTTCTCCGAGAGCTGCGGCGTAGCCACGCATGCCGTTATCCTTCAGCAAGGCGATTCCGCGAAAAAACGACGGACAGAAGTGTCTGCGGGCGAACGAGAGAGATAGATTGCACAGCTGGATCGATCGGCCTATATCGCGTAAATTTCCGTGGTAATAAATCAGCGGGAAGCACGTAACAATGTGACCCCCCCGTATCGTGTCATCATAATTTTCATACTCGTCGTTTGTTTCGCTCCGCGAACGTCTTGAATTTTCGTTTTCGCCTTGAAAACAGCCTAAATCGAGCGACTTTTCGAATATACCTCAGAACAATCTTTCCTTTTTTTTCTTAATTCATTTCTGGATGCAATTGAATTTTCTCATTTTTTTCTTTCTCGAAATGTTTAGCCGCCGAACACATCTGCTTTCGGACTCGATCATTGGCATAAACTGCGACTTCGTCGGATTCGTTCGAGCAGAAATTATGACACTTGACTCACGCGAGGCATTGTACCTCGACCATAACGAAAAAAAAAAGCTCGCTCGCGTCGCGGCTCACTTCCGGCTTAGAAATCCTTTAGAAAGTCCATTTAAGGCCATTATTGCTCAGCGCTCGGAGTATTACCGAGTAAATTCCTACGCTCAGATTGTACTCTTGTATAGCTAACATCACAATACATAATAACATTGCCGCCTTATATCGGATCCTGCATAAGAAGCTTTTCATTAGCAACGGCTCCCTCTGTGAAAATTAACATTCGCTTCGCTAATTTCATACAATTCATTCCGCAGATGTACCGCGGCACGTTGGGGTATCAGTGTTCCGCTTCGACACTAAAAAACATCTTTAAATAACGGCACGTGCAGATATATCTAATTTGTCCAACTTATCTCGATTACTTCCAATCGCGGTCGCAAGTATGCTTAATTATGCCGATTCGTTTACTTGTTATAATTTATTTACGATCTCTTTGCGCAATATCGATTTCACCTTCTCTCGCGATCCAATCTGCAAGTCCTTATGGCAATTTCGTCGGAACACGGCGGTGCGTGTTTGTGATGCAACCGCGCTTACGTCACAAACGGACCTTCAGTTTATAAACATAGAACCTAAGCGCAAATATGCGCGACAACCACTTTTAGCATCACAGGTACGCCCCTCATAACAAGTTCGTATCCGCCTACGCGGTTTACTTAACGACTGACTATCTTTATCAAACTCGAACCGGCGACCACCCGCCGTACATCGAGTCCATACGGCCCAACGTGTTTTTCCATATTTCATATATAAATTTCATATATAAATGTTACATAAGAGATCTCTTCGCACACACTGGCAAAGGCGACTGTTCTCTTCGACGTGGCGATCGCGCACGCGATCCAACTCGCGCTCGCGAACCGGGAGCGAAACCGGCTCCGTGATAAGTGGTAAGTTGATTCGCGTGTCATACGAATATCGGCGTTGAACGGTGAAAAAGCGCGCGAGAGCCATTAACCTCGATTGATAATGACCGCAAATCTCGACCGCCGTCGAATTTTCGGGAGCCACGATCGTCGAGCTCGAGGACCGCCAGGTAACGCCAGGTAATGAAGTTGATGAACATTGCGCTCCTTGGAACGGCTGCGTACAGCGGAACTCGGCCGACGATATCTCCGGTATTTGCAGGGCCGATCAAAAGCGACCGTAAATTTGGAATTTTTCCATATTTTAAGTTATCGATTAAGTTAAGTTACCACACAGATACAGATTACACCGCTCTGCCGCGCGAGTGGTCATAGCGCGCGGTTCCTTTCGCAGAGAACCTTTCTTTCTGCGGAGAATCGGAATGTTGTAACGAGCTAGCAGCAGATGGAATTACTCGGTTGCAATTACGCGTTACGAAAGTCACGGTGAACTTAACGTAACGCATTATCTTACGGAGATCAAGCTGCTTCTGGAGAAGAGTCTAAGAAAAGCGCTTCGCGCTCAAGGACGCGCGTCAAGCAGTTCGCCTACCTTGGTGTTGAAGATCCGCGTCCTCTTGCCGTCCATCTGTACGATCATCTTCGCGTTCATCGCCAGTTCTCTGCAAAGAAACAACAAACGCATCTTGTTTAGCCGGCGTATATAGATATATATCGGACGTAGTCGATCGTCGCTCGCGTGACGATCGGCCGAAATTCGAGACGCGCGCGCGGCCATCCTCGACGGCCGCTTAATGTCGCACGTATGCCAGTCGATAGCACGATGACATAATTGTGTCACGTGCTGTCAATAACATTTCTTTGATTCAATGAACGGGTCGGAGTCACCGCGCTATTACTTCGCGCGAATATTCGCCGCGTTGAGACCGCGTCATCTCCGAGAGGAGACCGTGACTAGCGTTTTGACCGAAATTTTCTGCGAGATGTGAGCAATATTTATTTAGCGGTGCAACAAAATTTCGCGGAAACATTCCTTCAATATCTGCGACAACATTCGTGAAACGACGCGCTCTCCTTTTTTCGCTATTTACGAAGAAACTGCTCGAAGTGAACGTTTTCTCGCTGGTCTCGCGACGAAGAAACTTTTTAAAACGAGCGATCGATCGCGCGACGAAAAATTTGGGCGCAATTGAGAAAATAATCTTAAACATAGAGAGAGAGATTTGTATATTTCGAATATACACAATAAGCCCGAAGTATCAATAGTGCGGTAAGAAAAAATGAACGGGGCGATGATATTTGCATCGGACATAAAAAATTCAAGAATCTCGGAGAAAAGGTGAACAATACTGCGAGGGCTGCTTTAGATTTAGGTTATGTTATGTTAGGTTATTAATTGCTCATGTTGATTGCTCCTCGGGTTATCGTCCACCTTTTCTTTCGGATCTTCTGCGAGACATGTCTTCTTCGATCGTCACGAGCACTCAGGTAGAAGAGAAAATCACGATGACAAATCAAAATGACGTCAAAATGATGAGGAAAACTCTTTTTCTCATCATGGTTCGATCATTTTCTTGTCATCATGATTTTTTGTTCTACTTGGGCAGTCACGCTATACAGCGAGGCTTTTCCTCGACTGCATATTCACGAATCATGAATATGCGGATGAGGAGGTACGAATAAATGCTACTTATGGATCGATATTGTCGGTGTTTCTGAGATTTTCAGCAAGCGACAGTTGGACGCGGGATCGAGTCATTTATCGGCGACGATGACCCCCATTCCTGATGATGATGCTCGCGGATTCTATCGAGCGCGTGCATCAACAAGCACGTCCTAAGGTGTCTCCTATACGTTCGATGATATCGCACAATGATTACGGCGCCGATAGTATATCTTCATGAATAATCGATACACAGCAACGCATTGTGGAAATGTCGTTAGCGAGACGGCGACAATGCGTTCGCAATAATTGCACAATTCTATCGACTGTGGAGATGATCCACAGAACGCGAAAGCCTAAAATACGTTCGGAGGACATCTATAGTTGAAGCGTCCTAGAGACGTCACAAAAATGCAATCTTTTTGCAGCGATACAGCACCTGCTGACGTTTCTTGGGATGTCATCGCGACCGTGCGAGTTAACCCGGACAATTGCAATTGAACAGACTCGATGCTGAAGCGTGAGTCAACACACATTTGCGGACATTGTTTGCGGAGTTCGCATAAGGGGTGTTTGTTCGGTCAACAAGTTCTTTTTTTCTCTCTCTCTCTCTCTCTCTCTTTCTCTTTCTCTCTCTTTGATATACGTTATACGCTCGCGTGCGCAGGTAAATTTGCGCGCGTGACAAGTCAGCGCGCCGGTCAGCATCCGTTGGCGGATTCGCGCGATCACGGTGATGATAATCGCTCTCTCGTGAAAGCGACTTCGGCGATACGGATATTCCCGCGCCGAATTGCGCCGAGCCGACTCGTCCGAGTGGTGAATGCGGCGATGACGATGGCGACGACGGTGATTATCGGAGCAACGTCGTCGCCGTCGCCGTCGCCGTTGCCGTCGCCGTCGTCTACCATAATGACCCTCTTTGTCCGCGATAGCTCTTCACTGTGCGACGCGACACGTCCGAGCGGCCTACTTCGTCACCAGTTGCATGACATGCACACGCACCTTTTGTTGAAGGGTCGAACCCTCACGGCCACCTTCACCGAAGCCATGGTTTCGACGCGACGATCGCATCGGGCCAGCTAACGACGTGAGTGAGAACACGAGTGTCGCCCACCGTCTCGTAGTATGCACGACGAGACACGCGGCGCGGCGACACACCTCCGACAACACACAGATGCGACGCGGTGCGAGGCGTCGCGACGCTACTACGTGCGCCTATCGGGATAAACGCCGTCGACGGACGTCGCCGTCGTGCACAACCGTCCTCGTCCTCGTCGTTGAGCCTGGAGCGCGATAACCAGCAGTAGCGACATCATCCCCTACACGTACGCTCGCGGCAACCGCGGCCGACTACCGCGCCGCGCCGAACCGAGCCGAATCGGGCCGAGTGTTCACAGCGGAGAAGAAGCGCGCATGCGCGCGATTGCCTTCGACTTGGCTAACCGTTTGTCCGCATTTGCGAAGGCCGTTCGCGCGAGGCGACGCGTACATATGTTTCTTTCGGACTCTCTCCCGACGCCTCGTTTCGTTCGGCTGAATTCGGCCAGTTCCGCTTTTGGATTTCGGAAGCGAGTCGCGTGATGAACGCACCGCTGTCAGATGTCGCGTACACTCGGGTTATGAGCAACTTACATTTGTCACTTTTCATTCAACCACGAGCTCCGTTTATCCGCGTTGCGCGCGCGACAAGGAAAACACAAATCATTCCTCTAGATATATATATGAACGAATGTATAGATATTACGAAATACAATCGAGTAATGGAAAGATTTGCTGAACAACGCGAAGATATCCGCGAATCGTCCGCCATCGATAATCGTTAACGATCATCGATATCGATTCACAATATGACGATCGTTCCTTTTTCTCCGTCCCTTTCCGTAGAAGCTAAAACAGAACGGTAGAAAAAAGGAGACAGAAAGGAGAAAACATGGCACTGCGCTCCAAAAGAAGAACAGATTTGCATAAAAGTGCAACAACAACATACGATGCAGCCATGGACCGGATCGCTCATCGAACAGGCACGAGCGAGGCAAGCGGACGGACAAGCTCGTTGGAAACAGGTTTGCACTTCCCTCGTGTACGGCGCGATGACGTCACTAGCGTCCGTTTGGTCAACGTTGAGAGCCGCGCCACCCACGCCGCGGCAACATGGCGAGGCGTGGCAGGAGGACGAGGGAAAGAAAGAGAGGGAGAGAGGGAGAGAGAGAGAGAGAGAATTGGCTAAATCGAATAGCTTTGCGGTTTCTCGAGCGCGTAACGGCGGTCGCGGTGAGGATCGCGTCGTCTTGTTTTGTTCAGCCGGAGGAGGAGATTGCGCCTGACCAGCCGGACGAGCACGTATCCAGGACAACGACGTGAGAGCACCTGCTCGTACGAGCGCGCGCTCGTAAATCAAAAAAACATATGACAACGCGCGACGATGGTAAAAGAAGAGAGCGCGAGCAGGAGCAGAAGGAAAGGACAGAGACGAGCTCGTTGACGAACGCGTTGTGTCACGGGTCGACGAACCTTTAGATATTTGGCACGCTTTTGCGTCAAAGCCCTGGCTCGCGTTACCTCTTATTTGCTTGTAGAGAGTCAGATAGGTGAATTCATACGAAGGGGGTTCATTGAGAGAGAGAGAGAGAGAGAGAGAAAGAGAGAGAGAGGGCGAGAGAGAGAGAGAGAGAGAGAGAGAGGGCGAGAGAGAGAGAGAGAGAGAGAGAGAGAGAGAGAGAGAGAGAGAGAGAGAGAGAGAGAGAGAGAAGAGCGTCGAGATCTTTGCTCGGCAAAAGTGGAGATTCGACGATTTCATCGTCGTAGATGGAATTGGAATTGGTTCAATTTCCTTTGTGATAATTACGCTTGAGTTCATAAGAGGGGAGAGAGAGAGATTACGTCTTCTTTTTGCCGGTGGATATATATTTCAGTCAGTTAACCGTTAAATTACTTCAAAAGAAAGAGAGAGAGAGAGAGAGAGAGAGAGAGAGAGAGAGAGAGAGAGAGAGAGAGAGAGAGAGAGATGAGAAATGGCACGACAATGCACCGTTATTCGAAGCGCGGAGTTGAACAAAAGTTAAATACACACGTCTTCATCGAGCGCGTCAACTCGGAAAATTTCGAAACATATTGTAACACGATTGGTAGATCGTACTATGCATGCATATATGCGATTTTGTTAGTGCCTCGGGATATGAACCAATCACAGGATTTTCGCGTCCGCGCTAAATATGGCGGAGCCCGCGTATATACACACGCGGCGCCTTTCGAAGAGGAGAATACATAAAAACTCCGAGCACGCATCGACGACACCTTCCTTCTTCCTTCGTATGCGCGTATAACGGCGCGCTGCACTTCCGCGAACTCCTCTTTTCTCCCGTCCACGTCCGTCGCACGGAACAACGGAGTTGGTCGATAAATGAAAAACTCATTCCTGTAGTGTCGTAAGTATCGATATCTATCGTTTATACATCAAACAAAATCACACGGAGTTCATGATGGACAGGAAGTGGGCGAGAGATTATTCGACGTAGATTGTGCAACCTTCATCATTATCTAATTGAAATATTTGTAATTTCAACAATCTTCTTATAAAGGAATGTGAAGTGTATGATAATCTCTCTCTCTCTCTCTCTCTCTCTCTCTCTCTCTCTCTCTCTCTCTCTCTCTCTCTCTCTCTCTCTCTTTCAAACAGCAAGATTCGTTTTCAAAAGTTAGTTCAAATGTACATCGAGCGTGTTCCGAAGCCACATCTCGCAGCGTCGTAGCGACGATAAATAAGAGATCGCGAGAAAACCTTGAAGAGCCGAGCGGTTACACGATACATGCCCGCGTCTAGTGATTCATAGCCGATTGGACTGACGTAATAACACTTGTGATTGGCATACGCGAGCGAAAAGGGAGTCGCAGATCCATTTGTAAAGACATGACACATTTCCGGACACCGAATAAATACGGTGGCCGCTAATAACGATGACCCGCGCGCCTTGGTCCTGTCGTTGACCATGTGACATCGTATAATTGACCGCGAAACACTGCCAAGAATCAGATGAGAACGTCGGATTCTGAGGCCGCAAAAGAGAAATACGAGAAAGAACCGACGAAGATAGCTCAGATGTAATTCCAGGAGACGCGCTCGTTCAGGAAGTTACGAGCGCGCGCTCTTCCGTGACCGACCATCTTCGAGGAAATCTCTCTTTTACCGACCAAACCGCTTGCCGCCGGAGATACACGTGCCACGTACAGGTGGCAGTACCGCCTCCAAAACGTCGGACCCGCGTCCGTCGCTCGAAGGGCTGCTCTAGAACGGTTTCTCCGGAGCCAGCCGGAGCTCCTGCTCCGGAGTCGAGAAGGTAGGGGCTACGAGGGAAGGGGTAGGTGGCGTACGAACAGCGAGGCGAACGTAGACTCAGGCAGGTCGCATCAGTCGGGTGGTAACTGTCGAGCATGTACGTCGGTTGTTAGTGTTAAATCGTGAACGCATCCGCGGTTGGTGGTGCGTGGCGGCGGCGGTGGGTGGTGGGTACTAATGGTGGTGGTGGTGGTGGTGGTGGTGCACAAAAGCGTACGTCGTCTGATCGGTCGCGCGCGGCTCTCTTTCGCGCTCCGGATCCGGCGCCGGGAAAGAGACACGGTGCTGGACGGTGGATGTAGTGACATGAGAACATGTGATTCTGACAGGGTGAAAGAAAGAGCAAGCGACAGCAACAGTCCCCGTAACATTATAATTCTTTCCCCATACTCTGCTCCCACTGCCAGGTGTGTGTGTGTGTGTGTTGTGTGTGTGTGTGTGTGCCTGTGTGTGTGTCTGTGTATGTGTGTGTATGTTGTGTGACGCGCAGCGGTGGTATACACAGTAGCGGTGGTTCACTCGTTCGTGACGCGTCGCGCCGCTCCGCTATATAATCGTCGGAGACACGCCGGGTACACGCTCGCCGGGATCGTCGCCCCCTCGCACGCGCGCCGAGGGGTAGTTGGCCACCGTTGCGGAGGATACGATGTTCTGAATTCGGAGCGGCGAAGGGACACCATACGCATCATCATGGTCGCCAAGCATTTTGCGGCGCAGGGTGAGTTTTTCGCTGCCAGTCGTAGCTTTTTCTCTTTTTTTCTCTTGCGATCTCTCTCTCTCTCTCTCTCTCTCTTTGTCTTTCTTTCTCTTGCGATCTCTCTCTCTCTCTCTCTCTCTCTCTCTCTCTCTCTCCCTCCCCTTTTCTCTCTTGGCGTTCCCATAATCCTTGTAAATCCGTCTTTCCATCCGTCGCCTCCGCCCCAAAATTACCCCATAACAATGCTGCGCCGCTCAAATAATTTCCTGTCGCCGTCGCAACGACGGCGACGACGACGACGACGACGACGATGACAGGTTTCTTGGTAAGAAAACGTATGCTCGCCTACCTTCTCGTAGACGCACACTGTGGAAACGGTGCGACCACGGGTGGGCACTTGGGTGGTGCAGCTCGATCATAATAATAGAGCCGCAGCGTTGCGTGTACTTTCTACACTTTCCTACCTACCCTTCGCCTCCGTACCTTTGCTTCTCCCTTGTTCTCGAAAGGCGTGGATAATTGTTGCATTCGTGGTGGCACCGATGATATCGATGGCACATGCAACGTGTCTAGCCCTTGGAGAACAATATAAATGCTAATGATCGAATTGAGACGAGGCGAGACGCAATTGACGCATACGCAAAGATATGTGTCTATAGTGCCTTGGCGCTAAATATGGTCATTATCGTCTTTGTATTATCGTCGTAATGTTTACATTTCTACGCTTTATCACATCCATTGGTCGATTTCATAAACTATACGGAAACGTTTATAAATGATCGTTATTATTTACCGATCGTACGATTACTCGCTGTAATTCTGTCCAAATGCAGAAATGATCTAGAATAATCGCTTATCAAGATCGAGACATGTCTTATCGTTCGGTTTATGAGAGTTTTTACTATTTTTTCCATTATTTTCTCGGTCTGTGCGATAAGATGGTGTTTGATTTTCGTCACACTTCGATAACTATTGTCTGCTAAACTCACGAAGGTCCCGTGATAGAAACATTGACAGTCCCTTTTTTATATATTTACTCAGTAAACATATTTCAATTTTAATGCCATGGTTTTCACGTATCCGTGGTTTTGTTAAAATACGTGTTCGCGTGAACATTCGTAGTCTCTCTAATAATGATGCAGGGGCGATTCGACGCCGTCGCGAGTCACGACGACCAGCAACATTTCTCAGTTCCGCTCCTTCGTTCGTTTTCGGCATACTGATCGAATCGCACATGTTTCCGCTCCCCCCTCCTCTCTCTCTCTCTTTCTCTCTCTCTCTCTCTCTCTCTCTCGCTTCTGTTCTCCCTTTCTCACTATTTTTTCACCGCGAATGTTTCCCCGTTGTTCAGCTGTTATTGAGTTCGAAAAGACGAAATTGCTCCTACTAGAATGCAACCACGTCGTAGTAATTTGCAATCGTGCGAATCGGTAACCGCTCATTATTTCGCGATTGCGCCATCGGGAAAAGAAATCGTGTGAACGTTTTCGCGACTTTCTGTTCTACACTTGATACCTTTCGCTTTCAACGAAAGCAGCGCTATATGCGCTCCTAAAATATTCTGAATGAGAATCATTTATTAGCCAACGTTGGATGCGCATCTTTAGAGTATCTTCTCTTACTATAGACGCGTTTATATTTGGATATTTTCATCGGTATGTTTTTACGTTTATAGATTTACATTTTTGTCTTCGAGTGTACTGTAATCTCCGTTAACTCCATTGTGGATATTGGAAAATAATGAGCTAATAATAGGATTAAAATCGCTCTTTTGAAATATAATGAAGTTCCATTTATCTTCCAAAAATTGTCCCATTATCACGCGCGCTCGTTAAACTACGGGGATGCATAAATTAAGTCGAATGATTCACTTCATTTGGAAAAAGTGAGCAGCGCGGGTATCAGGATATCGATGACGCATTGTGAGCTTCACTCGGCAGCTGACTGACTGCGCGATGTCAAGTTCGCGGCGACTTTCGCCGATGCCCAATCGATTTGCGCTCGCATAATAATCCCTTTCTCGCGTGCCGCCGCGACCTCCTCATGCTGCGATCATACGAACACAAGCGGACGACCGGACACTGTTCCTTCTCTACCTACATATCTGAACCATGAAGTCAAGGGAAAATACGACTGCCGACGGACGAGCGGTGGGAAAAGAAGTCGCCGTGAGTTCACGAGATCAACGGCCAATAATGGAGGTGTTCCGTGCCGTCTCAGCGCGATTCTTGCCTCGGTGGCAATTAACGTTACCGTGAAAAATATCACATTGATTATTATTATTATCGATGTTAAGAATGACGTCAAAACTTTGTCTCATATTTTTCTGCGTGCGATATTAAGTAGTTTGAGGAAAAAAATTATTTTGAGAAAGTCAGTTAGTTTTAATAGCAGAAGTATCGATCGTTTATTTATCCACTTGCACAATGTGGGAAGATATGCGAAAAGTTAGCGTCGATGCAAAATCGCGGAGGGAATTTTGTACGCGCTGCGACGCTGGAATGTATAATCGACTCTCGCGCGTGGTCACGGGTGTATCGAAGTTATCACATTGCTTCTGATAAAGCTACTTACACTGTTAACTTTATGATACATACATCGACCTTTTCTGTGAGTATCTTTCGTCACGGGCACAAAGCAGCCACAGTGTCTACGAAAGAGTACCCCACCGACACGTGGAACGTGTGACAGCACGCGACATGAAAGTCACACTGCGTTTGATCCTGTATTCTCGGCCTTGCTCGTGTGATAACGCATATTAATTAAACGTATAAAAATTAAACATAAAAATTTCGTGAATTATTCGGATTGTCACCATTCGTCGCATAATCGTCGCCAAATGCTTTCCACTTGAGTCAACTATACATCGATATAAGTAATAATAAATAAATAATTGCACTGTCCTTCGACAGATAGGTTCATAGAATCACCACGCATAAAGAGACAGGACAATAGATTAGATATATTCATTTAATATATACACGTGGTATGTACTTTTAATTGATTTACGAGATGTCCGAACATCTGTGGAAATAATCATATTATATTCGGTGAAACGAGACATCTGACATTTCGGGGATGGCAACCGGCTATATTTTCGAGAAACCTCGACATGGAAAATAAAACATACTTTGGATTTCAAGTCTCGCCGTTTCGCGACCGTCGATCCTGTTGCATCGGGATTCCGCGAAAATTCAACTACAGTCATGACCTAGATCGTGTCGCATCACATTCACGGAACTTTTCCCGAAGAGAAATGTGGATCTACGGTCTATCATCGTGATCTCGCGTTTCGGGCGAATGAGTCACCGGTGACATTCTAGCGCGAGCAGGTTTCCCTGGTATTTCGTGCTTTTCAAGTGAATCATCGTTCGCTACGTATGGTATACAGAAGTATTCCGGCTAGATAAAACTAGATGGAATTTTTATCGCTCGACGCGAGTTGTTTGCATTACACGTGTTCTAGATGCGGATTTCCTCTCGACGAATTGCCGCACGAGATCGATATCCGCTCGGGGCAGGAATCCGGAGGACGACTCTCGATTGCGAAGTTGCGCGACGTTGATGAATTAAAGAATCACGAACAGGCTAAACCCTGTTCAACGGTCGGAACTTTCAATCCAACTGAAATTCAATCGAGCCGTGAGCGACGACAAATTGGATTAAACAGGCGGGTTACAAGCGTGTATAAATAATGACCCGATAGAAACCGTGAATATATATGCATGCTATTGACACAAGACGAGGATATGATATATTGGATTAAGTTAATTGGTGACGCTATTGTCCGTGATCTGTGTATAATTCGATTAAATTGGCAGACAGGCATGATATACCCGTGCGCGGAAGCAGTAAAGCCCGATTCAATTGAGAAAAGTAATAGCCTTCGATCATATTCTCACCGTGACAATATTCAACAGCGTCGAAGGTACTTTCGGTATATCGATGGAAGCTGTGATACCGATGCACGAGCGGGCGTGACGAGATTCGATGAAAATACATCGCTTGTATTTTAATCGAATCTCTTCATCTCTCGTCGCGAGATATACGACGGACAGACGCACGCGTGGCTACACGCGACCGAATAAACACGTGCTGTCTCGCGCTCTATCGCACCCAAGGCGCATGTTCTCCCGGTCTACCCTTAAGGACCATCGTCCACAAATTACTGTAGCCTTACACATGTAAGCATACATGTCGCTTTGCCGCAGCTCTAGGTATATGTCGTAAACTGCACCGCTTTGAGCCGAAGAACCGATCAAAATATCGGTTAAGACAAAAATAACTCTTAACTCTTTCACTGTTAGTGGGAAGTGTACTTCCCACCTTTTCTCGATTCAATTTTGCGTTGTAAATCACATAATTTTGGAAGAACTAATCGGGAATTTGAGTTTTCCAGATAACTGAATAGTTGTTCGACATACTCCAATAGGTTTTTATACCCAATTATTCATTTGTGATTATTTATAACAAATCAAAGTTGAAGAAAGATGCTTTTCTTAGGGAAAAATCGATTCCGGAAATCGGAAAAATCGGAGAGTATTGAATGTAGAGGTCTGAAATTTTCACCAAATATTTTTCTAATGTTGTGCAAAAACATATATTTTTTCAGTATCTTTTTGCAGGTTAGATTTTTTTTTATAAACAAATATTTCTACAAAAACGGCCGAAATTTGATTCTTTTGTACTCTATTTTCCTAGTTTTTTCATTCTGTATCTCCATCTTATCCATACTATCAATATTATTTTACTCAAAAATAAATGTTTAATCTCTAGTAAGCATAAATATGCAGTATCGAACATTTTCCCCACATAAATTTTTTCCAGCTCGATCGAGTTCCATCGTCTAGAATCATATGTTCTTATTACGACCTGGTTATTATTTAATAATAATTGGAATTTTCATTAATTTTGTACATCATGATCGCCATATTGAGTCCACCATTTTGAATTTTGCAAATCTGACTTTAGATTCGTAATCAGCGACCTAAAAAAACGTAGGACTACCAAATATTTTAATAATTTTCTCAAGGGAAGTTAATTCAGTAGTGAAAGGGTTAACTGAGTGAAGAGTTAAGAGTTTCCGAGTAACTCAGGAAAACATAGAGATAGTGATAAAGTTGATTGCAAGCAAAAATAATTAGAGTGAAGTTCATCGTCAGTCCTATCCTCTTTCAAATCACTCGATTGTAACACAACATTTCGATGGGTCCTTTCGCTTGAGTTTACGTCTCATGTCGCCCGTATGACTATGGGCGATTTGTGCACGATGGTTCTTGGCCCTTGTGAATTACGTACCCATTCTTTCCTTCTACGTACATAATGCCGCCACCACCGCTATATCCGCGCACGTCTATTATCACGCGCCGACTATTGCGCCATGTGGCCAGCCGACAGTTGTGCATTTTAATTCCCTCCCCTATTGCGATCGCTCGTGACCATGCTTTGTTCCGTGTAACATTTCCTCGGTGCTCTATGCACTCCGATCCCTGATTACACGCGTGATTTATGTTACGTGTCGCAAGGATCGATCGAATCTGCGGAACAATCGCAGAAGGTTAAGCTTAGAGAATGAGAAATTATGCACACATATCTCATTTGAATATCAAGCGTAATATCTCAAGTGGCAATTATATAATGAGACTGAAAAAAAGGAACGTGAAAGGAAGAGTAAGAAGGAAAGATTATTTTGAATTCACCGTAACATCACATAAATGAAATATTAACATAATGATGATGAAATATTCGATAACGAGCACACATTAAAAATACACAAATACGTATTTTCGAATATTCTCTTTCCGTTTTATATATTTTTAGCTTTAAAAGATATGGCTGATTATCGTATTATGCATCATCGAGTACAATCGAATCAATACAGTATACCTAACCTTTAATTAAACCTTTTCAATTTTTTTCCTATTTCTCTGGAAATTAATATATAAATATATAACTTGTCGCATGTACATTTTGTTTTATCAGTACAGTATTTCTTTATGGTTATATACCACTTGCTTTATGGATAAACACGGAACTTAATATTTTTGTATCAAAATTTTTATAAAAAATTTTTCGAGATATTCCGAAGAGAGATCTCACAGAGCTCTCGATTAAACGTAATTATTCGCAGTTTGATTTTATCCCAATCGTTATAATTTTAATTGCAATCAAGCCGAATGAGACGGAATAAAATCCGTTTTTATATGAACACATTAACTGCAAGAGATACCTTCCGACGGTGCTCAGGAAACGGATGAAGATCCGCCGCTGATGATAAAGTGACGACGCGTCACGTCGCGATACTGTGGTATAGAAAGAGAAACGAGCAGAATAAAATAAGAGAAGAAAGGGTAACGTTGCTCCGATCGAGATTATATTTCATACAAAACTACTGTATTCTCCGAAACGAGTATTCACTCTCGTAATATCTAATTATCCTTCCTGCGCGGGATCACATATTCCATCATACTTTAAGCAGAAATTAATAATTAATCGATTAATTCTTTTTTAGCATCTGCAACAATGATAATATTATATCGTACAAACAGTAATATATATTTGTCGTTAACATTTACATATTTTATGAAAATGTCAGCGATCTAAAGTTTTAAGCGCAGTTTGGAATATTTTACTGGTTTAATTCCGTGCCGCATCAAGTACTAATCCTCCGTTTATAATGACTCGAGCTAACGAAGTCTCCGAATCACTGCCGCTTAATCTGAAATGGAATGTATACTGTCATTATAAAACTATGTTACACCCTGAATTGTTATAGCAAATTTAATTTGCTTCGACGAAACGATGCGGGTGACGTCTATGAAAGACGGCAGCCGCGATCGATTTGTATCTCGACTCGGAAGAGCGAATCGAATCTTTCGGTCGCCGATAATTATCCGCGGTTCCCGTTATTCGCGACCTTGAAAATACACCGCGTGTGGCAGCTGGGCGGTGCAGGTGCGGTTACATTGCAGGTGCAGGTGCGCGGGATGCACCTGCGAACCGCGAACCCTGCCGTCGGCACGTGGACTATTATCGAGACGAGGCACGTTGAATGATTGATTTTTTTCAAGGCGTTACGCCTCAAATTAATTACGAACGCGCAGGAAGAAAACGGATTAAAAAATTGACGGACTAATAATCTATGATAACTGATTGTGAATCAGTTACGAATTCATAATTTGCTACTTTGAAATCCCGATTCATTTTCCGGAGGAAGACGTGGGATTTATATAAGATCACACGTACAAGACGTTTTTAACTTCAAAATCTATCAAGTGATAGCGGTAACTGTTATTGTTATTGATGCTAGAAGCTCTCTCTGTCTCTTGAAATAAACTTATTTTTCTGTATAAAAGAATCTAAAATTTATACCCTGGTGATCGATAGGTTGGAAACGAAAAGAAATTCACTTACGAATAAGTGTAAATTCTGGTGTTAAAGGGTTAATCGAGCCGTTTACTCTTGAAGTGGTATAATTGTCATTTACATCACTGGACAACAGGTGGTCAAACACAAGCTTCCGCGGTTCTCTTTGATGTGTGACTGGCCTCTCGGAAATGTAATCCAAATGAAATTCAATATTAGCCAAGAGTAATCACCGAAGATGCGAAATGATACTCGATAAACGATAACAGTTTTAATTGCATCGTTTTCTTCTTCTCGATTGTAATGTTTCAACTTCACTGTCAACTTTTCAAATTATCGCACTGTAATGTTTAACGTGATTTCCGCGTATTATCATGATACTCCATTCACAATTGCCTTCAAGAAACGACTCTCTAATTTTCAGGTTCAAGCCCTGAGTACGGCGTGCCGGACATGACAGTCATCAGCGACATCGATGAAACTGGTATCAATCGGAATCTTCAAGTTCGTTATAGCAGGGACCAGATATACGTATCCTTTGTCACGAATGATGCAGCTGTACACAGGCTTGTATCTCTGTTTTGTTTTTACCGCCGAGTCATTCGCTCTCGTGTCATTCTGAGGTTCCCTTTATTCATATATATATATACATATATACATACATACATACATACATATGTACACACATACACACACACATATATGTATGTATCTCCTTATTGTTTTAAGATCAGAATGACCCGAGGGTGCGATAGCCTCGCTTCGAAATACGAAGTCATGTCTAACTGAAAGTCAGACTTCGATCTAGTCTTGTGCATTACTCGACAGGATGAATTAAGCGAATGAAATTAATCGGAGTAATCGTGATATTATCACAAGATTTCCCTAGAGGGAAAACTTGATGATCACGAAATATCGTCACGTACGATAGATTAGGCATAGTATCAAGGGCACATGTAAGCATTAACGTACCCGCTCTTCGCGATTTAATTTTCATCCGATAGAACAGCATGGAGAAGGTGTCGCAAGACGCAATTTTTACACGATTTTCACACGACGATATCTCGTTTACCGTGACGCCACCCTGATATGTCAAAAGAAAAAATTCGTTATCAAGCACAACATTAGCATGTAGAATTATCAAGAAATTCTCCAGTTTCAAGTCGTTCACGTTTTCGCACGTTTTCGTACATCGATATATTCGTCACGATACCGTCCGCTCGATCCATCCATTTCAACTGCAACAAAGCAGAGACGAAAAGGGCAAGCCGCGGCAGGTGTCGGACGGGACGTTAACTGATCTCGTCGAAAAGGTGATCGTTGGGAAGAATGGCAAAAGAGAGGCAGATGAATCGGCGAGGCGAAAGCTGCCGAAGGATGGACGTGTATGAATTTTGCAGGGGTGGGCGTCGCTCCTGGGTTGCCGCGTTGCTATGACAACCCCAGTCAGCTGGCGCACCACCCCAGGGCCAGACCCATTCATCTCGGCGGGTTTGCCGACCCAACGACCGACCGACACCACGACGACGACCCACTGTCAACCTTCCGCCCGTCCAATTGTCCAGGTACGATATGCGTCCAGCTCGCTAACTTGCCGCGAATGCGCCAACGGAGTTGAAGTCGCACAGTTGGGACAAAATGATCGATCCGATCGTCGATATTCGTGAGCTGGCTGCTTGTCGAAATGTAGAATATAAAAGATTGTTCGAATGGCGACAAATGGCGATAAGAAGATAAGGTAAAAACAGAGGCGGAGCTGGAAAAGGCATAACGAAAAGACAACGGCAAGAAACCAGAGCTCGTTTCCCAGAGGCCAGGCTCCTGCGATGGCGTCATCCTTACACACCAGAGCACCGCCAACGACCACACGTGTTACTTCGCGTCGTTTTTGCGTCGCCTGATGTAATCGAAAAATTAAACGGCTCATGAGGCGGCCGTTCGCGTTGCTCTGCCGTTGCTTTCGAATCTCCGTCGTCGAGCGCTTCTTGTGGATCATGGATGAGGAGAATCGCAGCTGGCGGCGATAGCTCGCAGCGTTGCCCCGGCCATTTCGCATCGAGGTCTCTTCTCGTAGCCTACATTTCCGCTGTATAATCTCGCAACGACATGTCGATCGCGAATATATAATAAGAATTACGCGAGCCCATCGTGTGCCCCGCGTGTCGATCTCTCGCGCGATTCCTTCCTGTCGCGTCTGATCGAAATAGTGCCGTTATTGTGACGAGAAGAGACTACAAAAAAAGTACATCGCCAATTCATCGCGAGTAAATAAGACACCGTCGTCATGTACCAGCAACGAACGCTCGTTTTTATTCGCGTACGTTGCACCTCGTTCATACTCGCTCACTCGTTCGCTCGCCTGCTCGCGTTACGGAAATAGGTCGCCCTATTTAAAGGGCGAAGAAACCGAGCGACGAGAGCGACGGTAGCAAGGAGGCACCCAGCCATCGTGCACGATGAATTGAGCCTCTCGCGTCCACCTTGCCGTCTGGCGGCTTTTCTGCTTTGCGACCCTTTCCAGCGAATGGCCTAATTTGTCCGCATCGATGGATTCTCCCCCGCGACTCTCCTCAGACATTCTCCTTTTCTCTCTTCCTCACCGTGTCTCCTCTTTTTTCTCTCTCTCTCTCTCTCTCTCTCTCTCCCCCTCTCTCCGTCTCTCTTGCTCTGTCGACACGTGGTAACAGAGGTGCACGAGATCGCTCCCCTTCGCCCCAATCCCAGTCTCTGCACCCCTGGCCCCGCGACGAGTGCAATTCAAGTAGACTAAGGGCGCTCCGTCTAGCGAGAGGTTAATGAGAGCGAACTACCCTTCACGCGCGCAGGTATATCTGTTCGTGTGTGTGTGTGAGGAGCACCCAACACACGCACGCGACGAGGCGCACGTGGTAAGAGAGACACAGGCAAAGCTAGGAATATCGCGAAAACGGGTTCCCGTTCGACTCATCGCGCTCTTTCTGCACACTTGAGCCACTTTCCGATCTTCCTGCACGCTCGACTAAATTAAAAAGCAATCCAAATCTCCTCTGCTGCGGCCGCGTCGCGTTCGTTTCCGTCGACCAGACGACATCGGACGACGCGTCGCTGCTATTATTGGCTTAAATCGCTTAATCACTTACGCGTGGGATAATGTGACGTTATAACGCGAGTGTCATTTGCTTCACAAAGAGGTGGAGTCGCGAGTGACCTTCCTCGTTACGGCCTGTCGTTCGAGCTTATTATATGATCTGCTTTAACGTGCAGTTCCTCATACTTAATCGAGCTTTTCCGTGCGCGAGAAAGTGTGTCAGCGAAGACGATACGCGCGAGTGATCGTTCCGTTTCTCATTAATAATTATTTAATAATCGTGGAAGTCGCTTTCGCGTGTCTGCGAATCCGAGGTTGCACACCGCTGCTGATCCCCGCGTGGAAGATGGAACATAATGATGACAATAAACGCGATATCGTGTTCCTTCCACGCGAAGCGCTTGATATATCGGAAGTGAAAGACGCCCTCCCGCTATCCACACGGAGGAGCGATCGAGCGGCGCCGCTCGCCGAGCAAGTTCGCCCTGATCTGGAATCTCGTTAGAGCATGGCCGAAGCTAATTACAGCGATCCGCCGTAGTTTCGGTGCGCCAGCAATTTCGCGGAGGAAATTGAAAGTTCCGACCGCCGCGCTGCGCCGAAAGTGCAGCGGGGTTTCCTCCAGAAATAATACATATCCCGCTGTGTGCCGTAACGCGGAAAAGAAGACGGAATTCCTCCCCCTGTTGTCGAATAAGCTCGTTAGCAGATGGACAAATACGGTTAGTGATTAAGCGCGAAGGATTCGGGTAGAGCGAAAGGGCGTAAATCAAGGAGCCACCGATAGCGACACGAGACGCGCCCACGGGCTTAATTAAATCGTTAGGTCCTCCTCCCTCGTCGGTAATAACGGGTCTCGATGGAAGCCTGGACCAGAGCTGTTTACGTCGAAAACCGAGACCGCTTACCGGGTCGAGAGGCTCGAACGCGCAAACAGCTCTTCGCACTGACGTCGCATTAATATCACGAGTCGAGGTACGGGGATCCACAAGGGTGTGCCTCTCACCGATGGTAGTTTCCTTTGAGCTTTGAGTTCCTACAGTGAATTCTCAGCCCAAGTTTTCCCTCGGCGGAAACACATCGAGGTGGAGTCGTCGCGTTTATCGTCGCTCTTTGATTTTTTGTAAAACTACATGTTCATACACACACACACACACACACACACACAGGTTTTTAATTCAAATTGTCGGAGTAAAAAGTCTGCTTCGTACGAATCGAATATGATTCCATCGGTTTGAAACTTTACGACCGCGGTTTCGATCGCCGGATCGAAGGGACGAGAGTACGGACGAAGAGACAAGTAACAACGATTAGTAGATTTTATGGTTTTAGTTTTAGATTTGGACAGTTTGTCGGATGAGGAGAAAGCTAAATCGTTATTTCGCCGGGACGAGTTTCGTAACTCCGGCTCGTAGACCACCCCAACTCGTCTTGAACATTGCAGAAGGGTGTATGTACGATTATAGGTGTACTACCCCCTTTTGCTGGCGAACGACATGGCATTCAGAAATGAGTCATTCCCCCTATGGTGACCCCGAGCCGTGACGTCATTACCAAACCCTCCTTCGTGTGCTGGCTGCGCCGGCGAAAGCATGTCATCCTCGACTTATTATGCAAGAGATAGAGGAGGCAATAGCGATGCTCCCTGGAGATTTCTTCGGCAATATCCTCGCGGTCGGGGAACTGCGCTGTGCAATTCCAAGCGAGACGGTATCCACCTCGCCCTTTCGTTTTTATCGCGGATATTATTTTTCCAACAAGTGCTCCCCCGTCGCGATTTTTTACCTTTATTATTACAGGATTATTTTGAAGGGGTCGCAGGATTTTGTAGGTACACACCGCTTGAATCGATTTCGACTGATTTTAGAACGAGAATATCGATAATAAATGTCCGAGAGATGAATAATTGAGGGCAAAAGAAAAGCGGATGAGGTCAAAGGGCACACCTCGAAATAGCAGAGGGAAAATGCCTTCTCGCAATTTACGCGGATTTCACCTCAAATTCTAATTCGCGGTTCATTAATCGAAAGACAATCCCCGACGCTATTCCGAAAATAAATAAATTAATCATGCGCCGTGGGATTCACCGGGAATCTCCGTTGAGAGAGCGAGACTCGAGAAGAGATTGCTCTCGCAAACTCATCGGGGAGTCCGCAGTCGAGAGGAAGTTCTCCCGGGGAACTCTATGAAGAACGTGAGAACGATGTTGCACCTCCCTCGATCGCCCCGCTTCGACTCCGGAATCTTTTTTCTCTCCTCTTTTCATAAGACGGCCAATAAAATTGGATAGCATGTCCGTTCGCGCTTCATAAAATGCTTCATATTGCGATCTGTCTGAGCATGTGAACGAGCGAGTTGTGAAAAAGGTCACGCATTTTTAGCACGATTCGAAGCTCGTGTGCGCTCTCCATCTCGTGATGTCACGCGTATATTTACGAAGGAACCGCGCGTCAAAAGGGTGGCGTCACACATTTTCTCCTGTGTGAAAGGTTACGTCTGCGTTATAAACGCGGAAAAATGTCAGCCGCATCCCTGAACCGGCGCGGCGGCAGCACGCGCGTCCGCCCTGGCATTTATTAATATTAATAGACGGTATGTACGTACAATGCAGCAGAGTTTTTTAACATGATCCAGTTAATTAATTAGCATCAATCGATAATAATAATGACGCACTTGTCGATATTGATGCACGTTAATATACACGCTAATGTATTCGGCGAATGATACGGATATGTCCGAGCTATGATGCATTTCCTTAACATAGACATTATATACAGACGTACACGGGATCCATACTGGTGGCTGTGAACCCTTACAAGGAGGTGGACTTCTACACGAATGTAAGTAAAATTAATTAAATTATGCTTTTCTCTCCTGTTTTAGCAAAAGGAAGCCTCGAGGAATTGTACGCGGCGCGAAATATAGTTCGCAGTAGGTTCGACAGATATTTCCAAGATACTTGGAATGATGATGCAAATTGTCCTGCCATTTTCGAGCTTGTCCCCTCGCTTATGCAATCGCTTGATGATTAGCATCGCGCGGAGGAAGCGACGCAAGAAATGGCGTATCGTCGTCGTGCAAAGTTAATTTCATAACAACGAAACATTCGACGAATTATCGCGACGACGCGATGTGACGTCAGCACTCGCACAATTTGGAAGGATTTCCAACACCTCGTTGGTACCGAATGCAAAACGCCTGCGAATGAGAGAAGCGAAGTGCGATTGGCTGGATGAGTGAGTACATGGAGTGTTATCGGCGTAGACACGTGATCGATCGAACGTGTAGTACAGATCGTCCGCGCGACCAAAGTGCGGTGCGCTTCCTGCCGTTGACAAAAACCGGAAGCACTGGCGAGGAATAGTAAATATCAGGCACAATGCGCGTCGCCGCTGAAAAGGGGGAAAAAGGCCGTGTACGCGCTGCACGCGTCAATCTCCCGGCGGAGATAAACCCACCGTCATCGTTGTCATCGTCGCCGCCGCCGCCGCCGTCGTCGTCGTCGGCGGTGACGTTGAAAGATTAAAACTGCTGCCTTGAATCTTTCCTCCCGTTCTCTCTCGGCCGACGCACTTTTCACGTCGCAGCGGCTCTCGCAACGCCGCAACGCCCCGCCGGATAGTGCATTATGAAAACGAGAAGCAGCTGTGTGGCCTATTTAGCGTGTTCCTGGACACGTTCGACAATGTTACGTTAATACATAATACATCGGCTACCGCGTTGATCTTGCGCTGTTGGTTGCATGAAAGAGCTCGACCGGTCATTGAATCGCCGAAGAAGAACGGCAAATTGGTACAACCCGAGAACTGTACTTGTATTTTCGATCTCGTCCTGCACATATTGGCATCTCTCTATAGATATACCACCAATTTGTTCAGTGCAATTAGCTACTCCTTGTATACGTTATATCCTTGATACGTTGAACTTCACACTCACTGTGCTATGGTAACGCGTTTACGCACCCAAAGAAAAGTATTCCACTTGTAAAATGATGAAATTTTTCCCATAGTCTCATATTCTAAGCGAAGCTTTTTGCAGGAAAAAGATTCCTCTTTCGATAAAGCGGTTAAAGTGAAGCATTCATCTAAAATTTATTAGATATTATTCTAACTGTTTTCCTCTTATTTCAAGAGGATTTCCTCTTATATCAATTAATTTTCCTCTTATATGAAAGGGAAATATATGTTGATTTGAATGTCCGCGTATTTCGTTCAGTCTACCTTCAGACATGAACGAAAAAATAACCATATTCTCATGGATCGGAATATTTGGAACGCTTTTTTAAAAAAGTATGTGTGTTGCTGTGGCATATAATTTACCCATCTTTAGTCAAATACAGTTTATAATCTGTTGCAAGAAGTTGAATAATATATTCTTTCTTTTAACTATATTTCGTGCAATTGATTATGATGAACATCTTTGTAGCTATAAAGTCTATAACAAAACTGATTAGAAATTTATTTGTTATGATGATCTTATTTCATTCATGCCTACTTATCGTAGAACTGGAGCCAGAAATATATCTATATATATTATTTTTCGTTATACATTATAATAATTTTTTCAAATTAACCAGTAAGAATAAATAATAATCCTCTTGAAAAAAGATTGAATAATCTGCGTATAAGAGGAAATTTATATTAAAATCAATAAGATTTGCACTATATATATACAACATATAATTTCTCTAATTTTAAGAATAATGTGTTTATAATATTTTCTTCTTAATTTTAGAGGAATCCATTCGAGAGAGGCCATATATAAGAATAAAATCCTCTAAAATTTAGATGATTCCGCTTGCTTTGAAATTACTTTTTTTTGAGTGCGTGACTTGTGTATTGTGAAAGCAATTTTGTCAAATAACATATGCCTCGTAATGATTATACAAATATTTTATGAGTAAGTTAGAGCCGACATATCAAGTAGCCAGCACGGAAAGTCCAATATGGTGCACACGACAGATTCCGTGTCAACGAGTCGCGATATCATAGCGCAGGTCAGCAGTGACGTCACAGTATTCAACGTGTAACACCGCGACGTGATTTCACGAAGGGTGCTCGTCTCTCCTTGAAAAAATTCTCGCGATCCCGCACAAGATCGCGAAAGTTACGCGCAACGTCACGCGCTTTATTTCGCGGTCGGTGCATCTCGCACACGCATGCCGAAAAGCACGATATCATCGCCGCCGCTGCCGTACGTGTGTGTATGTGTGTGTGATATCGAGGCCGGACGCCAGCGAGGAAGTGCACACGTTCGCATGTGCAATCTGTGCGTTATATTCATGCGATCTGAAACACAAACGCTTCCTTGCACGCAGGTACCTCTACCCACCACGCCATAACGACAGCGCGATTCTCCTGCGGTAGCGTGCACCCGTGCAATTTGCGTACAATCTCACGCACGATTATCGCCGTCTGCGGACGAGTCCTTCCGCGGATCCGCGCGATATTCGCGCGCGGTTCGCGCAGGACGCGCGGCGACTTTTATCGTATTGGTTGCCGACAGTCAGCCCGCAAACAGGAAACGGAAGCGACGCGCGACGTGCTTAAATCACGCTAACGCGATATCGCGAAACAACGACGGGACTCTCCTCGACGTTGGAACTTTTTTTTTTTTCTTTCTAGGTCGCATCGCGCGACACGCGCGAAACTCGGAGGCGCGTTAAATACCACGCTCGACTCGCGGCGCATCCGCTCAACCACCACGTAATAACGCTGATAAACGCTGACAATTAAGCACCCTCAAAATGACGCGCGTTCATCAGCGCGGAATCGATTCGTCCGTGCTTCTTGCCCGGAATCGTGTCTGACTTTTTGTTAGACGCGAACGACGTCGTCGGCGAGGGGCGGCCGAGATACAACCGAAAACGGGAGGGATATTTCACATCATGGAGAGTTTATCGGCTCGATAAACTCTATGCGTTTACTCGAGTTTATCTGACTGCGGAAAGTGCAGGATGCTGGATGCACACTGTCTCTCGATAATCGAGGAGCTTTCTCCTCTCGCTGCCGCCCGACGCGTCTATTTTCGGGTGCGCTCGTTCGTTCGTTCGTTCGCGTGCCGCACTCTCGTCGTCGTCATCGTCGTCGTCGTCGTCGTCAATAGTTCAACCGCGAGGAGAATTCCGGTGCGCCGCTGTAATCGGCCGCTGCAGGGCCGAATTATTTCTGGTATCGAGTAGCAGGCGCGCCGGAACGGGGAGGAAAAACACGTCCTGTCGCGCGAGAAGAGTTCTCGAGGAAAGAAACTCGCCAGATAAATTGATACTCGATCCTTGGAGGCTGCCGATAATATCACACAGAAACTTAAGAGAAAAGGGGGTTCTCGGGCGAATTTTCAAGACCGGAATTCCCTTTTAAAGTGGCCGCGCCCTCGACACGAGTAGATCGTATTTTCCAAGTTCGATCTCGGCGAGACGTAGAAATAACGCTGTCTTCCTCGCCACTTCCTCGACACGTCGCCTCTCCGGCGATTATCCTCTCGACCTATCCTCGAAGTCTCGAGTTGCGCCGCGAGTTATCGCGGAATCTACCGCTGGGAATTCCGCCTAAGCCGCGACGATCCGTGAATAGTGACTGATGACATGAGGAGGAAAAACGCTCGCGTTATCACACGCGCTCGTGTTAGTTTTTCACACGCATGTATGTGTGTATACACGCAGCGAGGGGAGAGTTTCGCGTGTCACAGCAGCACGGGTTTCGCGCGTGATCGCGAAGGTCAGCCAGGGTACCGCGAGGATCCCTGCCTAGGCCAGGAGAAGGAAAAGGGTGGCACGCCCTGTGTTATTGATCGCGCACGAAGCGCGCGCGGAATCGGATTCGGTCGGCCGCCCGGTCGCCTCTTGGCGCAGCCACGGTACCGCATGTTCCTCCCAGGATGTATCCTCCGCAAGCTACGATCGTGATCCCGGTTGAGTCACCGAATCGCGCTCGATCGATACAATCGACGTGATTAACGGCGAAGAGGTCGCGACGTTCCCTCAGCTTGACGAATCGCGCGAAATCGGCTGAAAATCGGCCGAAAAAACTTGCCCTCTCTCCTGTCGTTCCGCACAATTCATCACGTTAATTACCTATCTTGCTCTTGCTTCTGTTTTTCTTCATCTGTAATTAGCCTCGTATATGGTTATTCTTGCCTGTAACGGGTATCGACAAGAGACACAAGCGGAGATTCTCTCATCTATTATTACATATCCTGTGCCCCGAGATTCCTTCGTCCTTTTTTCAACTCACCTCATCTGTCTTGTGATAAAAATTCTATCTGCTTCAGCTCGGCATAATTTTAGAAGTTATTGATGACATTTCGATCTTAGCGTATAAGATAATAATAAACTTTTGGAAGATTGCTCACATATCTATATTGCATTCTTTTTTACTGTCACGAGAACAGTAATAAAGTGCGCTTCTGAGTCCTGAAAGATTTCAAATTTTGTAATGCACTCGATTTGCATTCGATAATATCGCGAGAGCAAGCGTGTACTTTTTATCTGTTAATTAATTACATTGATTTCGGATTAGGAGTAATTCGATCTCTATGGTGCACTTTTACGCGTCCAACACGTAAACATTATCGTTTATTTTGTCGGAATCTATTTTAACGTCGCTGTTGATCGATAAGTAAGCAATGTACTCTGATTGTTGTGTCACGTGAAGGTGGTTGATGCGGACGATATATCCGCAATCAAAGTCGCGCAAACATTTGACGACACTAATGGATGTACAGGATCCCTAAATGGCGAGAGCACACAAAATCCGTGTGGAGTTTTCGTCAGCTGTTACACTTAGGGCGCATTCATACCTGGGCAGAAAAGCAGAAAGGCAGAAAGCAAAAAAGTAGCAGCCAATCACAAATGGTGCTGATAGTCTGTTTCTCTCTCTCTCTCTCTCTCTCTCTCTCTCTTGCGAGAGTTTTTTTTCTCTGTCATTCTTTTGGCTTCTGCTGTTTTGATTTCTGCTTTTCCGCTAAGGTGTGAATGTGCGCTTAGGCTTACGATAATTACGCGACTGTAACTTGATCGACAAAAACGTCGCGTATAATCGTAATTGTCGCGTCTCAGCTGATATATAAAATGACGAAAAAATTAAAAAGAAATTTTGCGCGAATCTACTTTTACTTTTCGTTGAAACCTTCCTCCAATTGGAGGTCGAAGATCACTCCTGATATTTCAACCCCCATACGGAATGCTGATGAAAAAACAATAGTTAATAAATTACTCGCTGCATATATAGAGTAACAGTAATATTATTCTTGATGTTTATTATCGATAAAAAGCGAAAAAGGAAGAGAAAGAGAGAGAGAGAGAAATTGATCGGCGGATTTTTCAAATCGCTGAAGTGATCAACCATATAATTCGATTTGCGGTCTGTCTATTGGACATTCGGTCATCATAGCAGCTGTAGCTTAATCGACAGTCAACACTTGCAATAATCGAAGAGACCGACGTACCGAAAGTGGGTCAACCCATTTCATCCGCAGGTACCACCGCGGGAGCGGTGTCCTATCGTGAACGCGTTCCTTTGTACGGTCGGATCTCAAATAAGGACTCCCGATCCTTCCTGCGGGACAAACGGTCGTCGTCGAAGTTAATCGGCCGGTTGTCATTGGAACATTTCGTATTCGTCTTGACTTAGTGTTTAGTCTGTCTGTTTTTTGGTGGGAGGGTTCACACCGTCTGAAAGAAATAGGACGAAAAATCTTAGGATTTTGCTATCGGAGCGTTGACACGTGCTAAATTCCCTCGCAAGCGATACTGATCGATGAACGTGACCCACAAACGAAATGGAACGAGGAATCGACGTCCCTTTGCGCTTCCACCGGAGTATCGGAGTCAACAACAGCGGGAGTGAGATAAAAGAGACAAGGGGAGAGGAAGAGAGAGACGGGCAGAGAGAGGAGGCTTGACTTGGTTAAAAAGAGTGAAGCTACTTGACTCTTTAACGTCATGTGCAAACTTATCTTTTATGCGTTGTCAGTCTTGTCAGTTTGTTTGATAATTTTTTTCTCTTATCTCTCTCTCTCTCTCTCTCTCTCTCTCTCCCTTGTTTTCTAACGGTATCACTTCTCTTAAATTATTATTTAAGTCACAAGTCCTGAAATCACCGAGATCGTGTGTGCTTTTGTTTTACATTTTTTACCTCTATGCTTTGCGATTTTTGTCAGATTCTTCGCGATTCGCTGTTTTTAAACATGCTAAGATTAACGTACGACGATTTAATTTGCAAATTAATGTTCAGCATGCTCAAATGTTGCAAATATCATAAAACTGAATTTGAGTAAAGCACCTTATGTGAAAAAAGATACAAAATTTATACATGTGCTAAATGTTCACCAGACGAGATTCTTTCAACTTTGGTGCATAGTCGTAAAACTTGCAACGCTTGAAAGATCGAGCGTAGTATGAAGAAAAAAAGAAAACAGTGCGAGAGACTGCAACGCTGTGTCGCAAGGTGAATATCTATACGCAGGTTCACAGTCTATTTCTTCGTCGGAAGAAGAAGAAGAGGAAGCAAAAAAGGAAAGAAGAAAATAGCTGAAACTTCCGGAGCGCCGCCACCTGGCACGCATCCTAACGCATGTATTTTTATGTCTCGCTTGTTTTCCTAAGGGTTCTCAACCCTGCAACGGCATATCTCGCTCAGCCCATCTCGATAAATATATCGCGAGATAATTTCTATCGAGAATAACCCACATCGAAGGTCTCCCTGCGAGCTTCTTTTCAAGTCGCACGATTCAGCACGTGTGATATTCTGAAAATACAATTTGAAAATGATGTCGGCATCGCGCTCGTTAATCTCTCTCCTGTGTGCCATCGGAAAGCCCATTTTATCGCAGGCGCGGAGATGTTGCTTCTTTTTGCTTCTCGCACCATATAAATCCAGATGAGATATTTTGCCCGTTTTATAACGAGCTGACTGGCATATCCGAGTGCGCCTCGCCGCCTCGAGGGAGGTCTGGCGCAAAACTGGGTTGCGCTACTTCGGCATCGAGGGACTAACAGCCGCGACACAGCCCAGCGTGCGGCACGCACCACTCGGATGCGTTAATCCTTTCACTGCTGAATTAAGTTCCCTTGAGAAAATTATTAAAATATTTGGTAATCCTACGTTTTTTGGATTGCTGATTATGAATCTAAAGTGAGATTTGCAAAATTCAAAATGGCGGACTCAGTATGGCGATGATGATGTACAAATTAATGAAAATTCCAATTATTATTGATGGTATATGGGTTTTTCGGATCGCTCATTACGAATCTCAAGTCAGCTTTGCAAAATTCAAAATGGCGGATTCAATATGACGACCATAATGTACGAAATTGATAAAAATTCCGATTATTATTGATGATATATGGGTTTTTCAAATCGCTGATTACGAATCTTTTGAGTAAAATAATATTGATAGTATGGATAAGATAGAGATACAGAATGAAAAAACTAGGAAAATAGAGCTAAAAAGAGTAAAAAATCAAATTTCGGCCGTTTTTGTAGAGATATTTGTTTACAAAAAGAAACCTAACCTGCAGAAAAATACTGAAAAAATTATACGTTTTTGTACAACATCAGAAAAATATTTGGTGAAAAGTTCAGACCTTTTCCTTTAATACTCCGAGGAATCGATCTTTCCCTAAAAAAAGCATTTTTTTCAACTTTAATTTGTTATAAATAATCACAAATGAATAATTGGGTATAAAAACCTATTGGAGTATGTTGAACAACTATTCATTTATCTGGAGAACTCAAATCCCCGATTAGTTCTTCAAAATTATGTGATTTACAATGCAAAATTGAATCAAGAAAATGTGGGAAGTATACTAACAGTGAAAGGGTTAATGATCTTCCTGCGCGGTCGCTCACTCGCGAGGACACCCCGCGACACGCGACCCCCAAATTTCCACTCTGTATTTTCGCGAGAGTGAAGTTGAAAGTTTACTGCGCGACCGCGATTTCTTGTTCCCTCGGCGATTCAAAGTTTTGTGTCCGCGAATTTGAAGAACAAAGATCCAGTGATGTCCGTTTGCAGCTCGATATCTGGTTGCAGAATTTGCAATTATATGCGATGTAAATAAATAATTGGAATTTACGATCGAAGAACGAAGTTCGTTATCCAGCCCGCGAAATCTCGAACGTCTCTCTGTGAAGATTTCGAGCGAAAACCCACTCGAAAGATGAGGAAGCGAAACACCTCGAGTTATACCTTTTCTAGGGTGCCGCATAGAAATTCAATTTCGCCGTGCGTGCATGTACGAGAACACACGGGAAGGCCGTTTCTGTGCACACGTACGCACACATGTGCACACGTCATCCCGAGGGAGAAGACGAACGAACGAACGAGGGGGCGGCCGATGAAAGTCAGTCGTTGGATGCATGCTTGTCGAGTATCATCGCGATTAATCGGGTTAGCGGGCCATGCGGGATACACACACGCACTCGTCATTTTGAGGGCTCTTATCGTATTATCGTCCCGTTATCGCGCACGCAGGTCTTCGAATTATACACTGACAAAAAATTGTATTAAAATTAAACAAATCTTTGTCTCGAATACGACTGTGAATACATTTATTCAAATTAAGCGACTAATTTCTAAAATGAAATACAGAGTATCTCTCTCTCTCTCTCTCTCTCTCTCTCTCTCTCTCTCTGAATGTAAACTTTTTTCTTGAATTTTACAAAATAATTGCTTAATTTAAATAAATATATTCACAGGCGTATTCGAGACAAAGATTTGTTTAATTTCAATAGAATTTTTTCTCAGTGTACGGGCGTATACATATATACGTATCACATCCGCCTTTTATTTGCCGAAAGCAGCACATGAAGAAGACGTATGGGTCTTTTCACCTTACACGTGTTCCTCGCCTTTGTCGTCGTATCGGAGACGATTTTATCGCGTCGATGAGGCAACGCGCAATATCAATTGCGCACGCGTGTTTCCTATTAATTGCGAGTTACCGGATTATGCATTTAATTATCTGATCGTTGGTTGTATAATAACGTATAGATTACGCAGTCGCTCGCTTGTTCATTCACGAGCAGCATTCGGCAGCGCGATGCGGGGTCGCGAGCAGGTCTCGCAATCCTCTTTAGAAAGAAGACGATTCACCGAGAGATTCTTCGGCAAAGAGGTGCCACTAGTCTTTCGGAGTACCATCCGGCGTTTCGCCGGCCGCGTCTACAAAGTATACTCTCTATGTGTCTTTTTTCTCTTCTCTCTCCCTCTCTCTCTCTCTCTCTCTCTCTCCTCCAAAGAATAGACCGTATTTGTTCCTCGTTTTTCGCGCGCAGCAAGAATGCCGTTGTGTGATTCGGACCTGACGGGAGCTTTTAAGAACGAGTCCATTATCACGGCGGCAAGCGGCACCACCACCTCGTTAACGGCCGGAACCCGTTGCACGGAAAGTTAGAAAGAGAGAAAAAGAGAGAGAGAGAGGAATCCCCATTCTTTCGTTTTCTTCCAGGAGTACGTGAATCGATACCACGGGCAGAAGATGGGCGCCCTGGAACCTCACGTGTTCGCGTTGGCGGAGGCGGCGTACAGGTCCTTGCAGGACACGGAGAGCAATCAGTCCTGCGTGATATCGGGCGAGAGCGGAGCCGGCAAGACCGAAACTACCAAGTTCATCTTGCAATACCTGTGCTCGGTGACCAGTAACGTCGACACGTGGGTGGAGCAACAGATCCTTGAAGCCAACACCATTCTTGAGGCGTTCGGTAATCGAGTTTGTTAATTACCCGCTGATAAGGGTCGCTGATAGGTCAATCATCAACGAGCGTTTGCTTGCGGTTTCGAACAAACTGCGCTGCTCTTCCGGTGTATCGAAATCTCGACTCGTCCAGCGAGATTAGTCGTTATCGTCGAGACTTCCGGTTTGAAGAACGCGGTTATCGGCTTGCATCGCGCGTCGACAACTCCACAATGAGAATCACGCATCACGAATTTGCACTAATTAGATATCGTAACGACTTAGGCGTGTTGCATGGGAGGAAATACGCAAGGTAGATTCAATCTTTTAATTAGTATAAAATTAGCTGTGTTTTCTAGTTGATTAAGTCAAATGTGAAAGATCAGCCAAAAGAGGGCCCGAAACGAGTCCCGTAACGAGTGGCGCATAAGATTGCGAGAACATTAAAGATAGATTAACAATAATAAATGCGTTCCGGATGCGACAAATGATTTCCGATAAGATTCAGTCTCGTCCTGTCGCGGTTAAGGTATTAGACGTGACAAATGACAACGTTGTATTAAAATAGAGGACAGAACTGCGATCGTCGGAGGTGACGGCAACGAAAAATAAACTTTGATCAACGTGAGCTGCACATCCGTGGTTTCATCGTCGTCGGACTCAACGCTTAACGCAGACGCGGCAACTCAGGTGTTAAATACAACGGCGAGGGGACGATGAAGTGGGTCACGAGGGAACGAGGTTTTATGAATAAAACACGTCACACCCCGACATCGTTCATTCATCTACATAAAATAACCACAAGCGGCCTTTCGGTGGCGGTGTTATTTTTGACGTGACGCTCAATCTTAGCGAATCTAGTCTCTCTGCTCGTCCGTTACATATATCCGAACTCGAAGGAACCGAGTGAAACCCGAGAGTGTACAACCTCCTGGTGTCTCACGTTTCCAGCAAACTGATATTTTCCTCTTGGGCACGCGCGTGTCACGAAGACATCAGGGAGAAACGCGTGAAACGGCTGAAAACGGTTTTGGTGAGACTTCATTCAGCGCGGCATTTTCTTTTTTTTTTTGTTTTACGAGACCGGTTGCCTTCTGAAGGGGACGACTTTTTTCGGGCATAACGCGAAATTTTCTAAATTCCTCCCGCGATTCGAATCGTGCTTGATGGATGGTGGTGACAACAGCTACGATTAACGGTTTTAACCCGATCTGCGATAAACAGGCAACGCAAAGACCGTGAGGAACGACAACAGCTCGCGATTCGGCAAGTTCATGCAAGTGTGCTTCGACAGCAAGTGGATGATCAAAGGATGCATCATTCAGGACTACCTGCTAGAGCAGAGCCGCATTACCTTCCAGAGCCCCGGCGAACGCAATTACCACGTGTTTTATCAGCTGGTCGAGACCGGCACGAGGGACAAGGAATTCGCCGAGCAATATAAGCTGCAGCCGGCCGGCCACTACAAATATCTCAATCAGTCCGGCTGCGTGAAGATCGATGGAATTTCCGACTCTAAGAAACTTGACGCCCTCAGGCTCGCCTTCAATGTGCTCCAGGTAAAGATCGATTTCGTGCTGGCTGGTGGTGCTGGAGAAGAGAAATTCGCAGCATTCTATACTCATTCCTATCGCGATATTATCGATTATATAATTTTTTTAATTTTTTTACTGCGTGTGTATATGGATATGTATTGTGTGTATGTGTGTGTGTGTGTGTGTGCAGGTTGCACCGGAGATGTGCGAGGGTATCTTCCGGGTTTTGTCAGCTATCCTGTGGCTGGGGAATTTGAGTTTCGAGGACGTGGACGGAGAAAGATGCGAATTGTTGAGAGAGGATAGCAACATAGTCGACACAGTGGCGCCGTTGTTGGGCATGCAGGTGGAGGACCTCACCAAAGTGGTGTTGATACGACAGATAAACGTGCGTGGCAATATCACGGAGATTCCGCTAAAAGTGCAGGAAGCCAGGGAGAATAGGCACGCGATGGCGAAGGCGCTGTACTCGCGCACCTTTGCTTGGCTCATCAATCACATCAACAATTGCACGAACCCGGGCCAAGACAGCTCCCGGTTTCTCGGTGTACTCGATATATTTGGCTTCGAGAACTTTACATTGAACAGCTTCGAGCAGCTCTGCATCAATTACACGAACGAGAAGCTGCACAAGTTCTTCAATCACTATGTCTTCGCGCTGGAGCAGGAACTCGTAAGTTATATTCTCGAAATCTCCTTCGATAAAATTTCATTCAGGCAAGTGAAAACTCGCTCGAAGTGATCATGGAAATACAGCTACTCGGAATCGCGCGAGAGTGAAATATGCAGTTCAAACTTAGAGTGGATTTTTAATCGACGCGATTTTTTTTCAGTATCGCCAAGAGGAGATCCAGTATTCTCACATCACGTTCACGGACAACACCATGTGCCTGGAGCTAATCGAGAAGCCCCCGCGATGCGTTCTTAAGTTACTGACCGAACAGTGCCATATGCCAAAAGGGTCCGATCTGGCCTACCTGACGAACCTACACGCGGAATTCGAGAACCACCCGTGCTACGTAAAGGGAGACGATCGGCGGAAGTGGGAAAAGGAGTTTGGGGTTAAGCATTACGCCGGCTGCGTGACGTACACTGTCGAGGGTTTCGTTGACAAGAACAGGGATGTGCAGCAGGACGTCTTCTTTGACTTCATGTCCAGAAGCACCAACGAATTCGTGCAGGAGATCACCGTCTACCAGGATCTACTGGGATGTACCGTTGCGCGCGCGACCGGCGGTGCTACCGCAACCACGATGTCTCGTGGCACTTCCAAGGGCAAGCCGACTTTGTGTGACTCCTTTCGACATCAGCTGCAGGCTTTGGTGGACGTACTGCAGGCGACCACGCCGTGGTACGCACGTTGCATCAAGCCGAACATGGAGAAGATGGCAAACCACTACGACGAGAAGCTCGTTTTAGACCAGCTTAAGTATCTCGGCATGTTGGATATCATTCGCATACGCAAGGAAGGCTTCCCGATACACATGTCGTTCCATGATTTCGTCGCGCGATACCGTTGCCTAGACAAGGCTCGACTTTCGCTCTCCTGTGATGAGAAGGAAGCAGCCAAACGCTTGATTGACAGTCAGGGCATAACGGAGACCGAGTGGCAGATCGGCCGGACCAAAGTGTTCCTGAGAAGCTACGTGCACGAACCTCTCGAAGATTCCAGGAATCAAATGGTGACGAGCAACGCCATCGTGATACAGAAGATCTGGAGGGGATATATAAAACGGCGAGGTACGCGCTCCATGTCTCTTATTCCCATAGATTTATTTTATTTATATCTTTTTCAATATTGCGCTTCTCTCTCACTGTATTATCGTGTCCCGGCAGAATACAAGCGTATAAGAGAGGCGGCGCTGAAGGTGCAACACGCTTATCGAGGCTGGAAGTTGCGAATAATGTTCATCAGGAAGCGCAGAGCCGCCATCGTAATCCAGAGTCACCTGAGGGGTGTGTTCGCGAGGGAGGTAGCCGCAGCCCTGCGTGAAATGAGGCGAGTCGACGAGGAAATGAGAAAGAGGGAGCGGTTGGAGGAAGAACGAAGACTGATGGAAGACAAGAAGGCTCTGGAGGAGAGTCAGAGGTAAGGGAGGCAGGCCTGTGGCCAGCCAGCCATGGTTCGTTTTTCTTCAAGCGTTTCCATTTAGCCGACCTCGCTCGACGGCGCTCGCGTAAGATTACCGGACGGAACGATTAATTATACGTGCAGTCGATTGTGCGTTAATATGCTTTCCGTTTGTGTCTCTTGTAGCGCGCAGTACAATGGTATTGTCGGGATGGAACCCGGGTAAGTTCGACGGAAGCTCGTGTGACGGGCTGCACGAGGCATGCATTCGTTGCATGTTAAGTATCATCGCGTGTGTAGTACGTTTGCGAGAGCGTTATCGCTTCCTAGTCTGATACACGGCCATGGGCCACGGTATGTGTGTATACGTAGGGGTTGCCCGAGACCTACCGAACTATAGCCTTTATCACTCCGCTCTCCGTTCAATTCTGTTGACATTTTTTTTTTTTTTTTTTTTAGAAAGGAAATCTTGAAGACTCTAAATTGTTTAAAGAAAGGCACATGTAACATGACTTGCACTAAGTCTGGGCGCGTTACCTCGTATACATGTATACATTAAAACGCTGACCACGGCGTCAAACGTTACATTATACTCACAACTACAACTAAATCGCAAAAGCGTTACGAGCGAAGCAGCTCACTTTAAACTTAATAATTGCACCTGCACTCGCAAAGAAGCATGTTTCACTTGAATGGGAGTCTCGGCAGTAATGTTCTCTGGAAAATTACAGGAAAGCGCAGGAGGAGATCGCCGCGTTGTCACAGATGGCTGAGCAGATGAACTCGAAAATGGCCGCCACGGATCTGCAGTCGGTGGACCTCGACAATCTGTTCTCTTTCTTGTCAGACGTACAATCGACCAAGAGTAATCAGATCATCGATGAAATCGGCGAGCGAATGGACGAGTTGGTGGAAGACCTCGACGTGGAATTGGAGACTGTGATTCAACAAGAGATGGAATCGAACTCCAAGGCCGAATCGAAGGTTACGTCTCCCAACGGGCAGGAGCCATCTCCGCAGCTGCAGCAGCAGCAGCGACTACCGTGCACGAACAGCTTGAGCAGCAGTAAACTCGGTCAACCTAGCTTACCAGAACCAACCGAACCCCCGCCACCACCGCCACCCCCGGCACCGCCGTTGATGAATGGCGGTGATTCGTCGAGTGACAACGGCGAGCCAATTTATGAATCGGTGTTGCCACGCGACGAGAACGAACCCGGCAGTCCGATCACTCGCAACGGCAGCACCGGGCAATTGATGAACGGAGAGTCTTGCAGCTCGCCGCCACCTGTGCCAGGTGGCAAGTTGAGCAAAGAGCAACTCGCCGGCAGTCCTCCGTCCAGGCCGGAGTCTCGAAGCTCCAACGGTCATCATCATACGCAGCATCATCACCATCATCAGACAGTGCCACAGGCGCAACAGAACGGTCACGATCAGCCGCAGTCACAGCAGTCGCAAGCGCAGCAACAGCAGCCGGTTGAGCAGCGCGAACAACGGCGCAAATGTCGAGTGGAGCGCAAGCTGCAGGAGTTGGAGGATAAAAAGGAGCAGGACAATGAGGCGACGAACTATCACGACATCATGGAATTTGCACAAAACTACTTCAACAGCCACGAACGCTCGCCAGAAGGCACGATAATGGCCACGCTGACAAGAAAGTCACGCGGCAAGAGCGTGGAGTACATTCCCAAATATGAGATGGTCACGTATTACAAAGGGAGCAGCATCCCGAATTCTCACATTCACATGTATGATCCCGACAACGTGAATGTGGCGTGTTCTGTGTTCAGGGTGAGTGGTGAAATGCATTTTGCGAGAAATTGGCAGTATAAATGTTGATTGTAGAGAATATAATTACGCGCGTGGCTCCGCGAGAATCTTTAATAAGAACTCGTCGACAAAAAGTATAAAGAGAAATAGATAAAGGTCAAGCGACACTTTTGTGTTGGAGCTTTTGTTTATTTTTCTTTTGATTTTTATAATTATAGAAGTTAGTTCTCCAAGTTCGCACGAATTTCTATCTATATATATATTTTTTTTATACACAAAGGCTTTGGTATTTACCGTCCTTTCCACGTGTTATATCGCTTTCCAGGATTTATGCAAGTACATACGCGGCGAGATGAAGCTGGATCAGGAAATCCAGACAATCCAGGGCATCATTGCGTATGGAATCGAGCGCGAGGAACTGCGCGATGAAATCTTTGTGCAGTGCATACGCCAAGCAACCAACAATCCCAACGCGGAATGGGCGGAACGTGTGTGGCTGCTGCTGTGCTTGGCGATCGTGGCGTTCCAGCCTAGCAAATTGCTTTACAAATACTTCGTCTCCTTCCTGAAGAAAAACATCGCGCTCGAAGGCAAATTGCGGCAGTATGTGCAATGGTGCGTAGACAATTGCAAGAACACAAAGGTTTCCTGCAGGCAACATCCGCCGTCGACAGTGGAGATTGCCGCCATGAGGCGACTCGGCACTATAGTCTGCCGGTTCTTCTTCTTGGACGGCAGAACGAAAGCGATCGACGTACATCCGACTGACACGGCCGCCGATGCAGTCGCGAAGCTCGGCGAGAAGTTGGGCCTCCGATCGTTGGAAGGTTGGGCCATCTATCAAAGCAGACCGGACGGAGAGGAGCACGTGCGGGCTCACGATTACTTGTACGACGTGATTGCCGCTTGGGAGATGTAAGTTTGTCAGTCGCATCGTACTATTTCGTATGCGACTTAACCCTTTAACTGCTTACGGTCGAAATAACTCGAGTGTGGAAAAAAAATGGCGGCCTTGTTACGATCGAGTTTACTCGATTTGGCCTTTCAATGTGTAATACCCACTTAATTTTGTTTGTAAAAAGCATTTGAATTGAGCGGGCATATAGTGCCATCTCTTATTATTATAAAATATTTTATAATTGTAAAAATAACTCAGCAAAGAAGTCATACTGGTCATTTAATACCACAGCAATTAGAGGATTAAGGAGAATACGTCAGTTTCTTCGTTCTATGACGCAAGGAAACTTGTCGCATAGTATACTCTTTTTTTTTTCATTACAGGAAGCAGTGCAAATTAAACACGGCGCAGTCGACATTCTCGACGTTACGACGCGGTAATAACACTACTCTGGGCAGCGGTGACAATCGCTTCGTCTTCAAGCGAAGATTGTTCCGCAATCCGCGGGAGATCTCGCAGGATCCTGTGGAAGTTAATATGCTGTACGCGCAAGCGGTTTACAACGTCGTAAAGGTATACAAAGACACAAGATTAGGATAAATTAAATGATATAATTAAGATAATATAAAATAATATATAAATCTTATTATATGTAGATCTTTCTTTGAAAATTCGAGCTTTTTTATTCTCATCATTGTTTCTTTTTTATTTCAGTGCGACGACTTTCCGGTGTCCGAGAAAGTAGCATTACAATTAGCTGGCTTGCAGGCGCAGGTGTCTCTGGGTGATCCCAAGGACAACGACAGACTCGATTATTACAGCGAGGTGGACAGTTTCCTGCCTTACAGGATCAGCCGAGCTCGCGGAGACGACGTCTGGGTGCCGATCATCGCCCAAGCACATCGACAATACGGTGCTGGGCGTAAGGAGTTAGCGGCCAAGGTCTTGTATTTATCCTGTGTGATGCAGTATCCTCTTTACGGCACGACCATGTTTAATGTCACTTATCGTGGATACTGGTCCTACGGCAACCAATTGATCTTGGGTATCAATTGTGACGGTCTCATGTTGATTAAACCAGACGACAAATTCGTTTTGTCCGAATACCGCTATCAGGACGTTGAGAGCATCATGCTAGACCCGAGCGACTCTTTCATCACGCTCTCACTGCTGCGACACAATCCTGACAGCTCGCACAAGTGCTTCGTCTTTGAAACTCCGCAGAAGAATGAGATAGGCAGTCTGATCGTGAGTTACTGCCCGGCGCTGGCGGGTTGGATCACAGAGAATGAAGTGCCGACGAAGAAGCTCAAAGGTATCACCAACGAAGATCGTATTAGGCTCTACCATAATCTGGTTAACTGTCGGCGAACGTTGGTGGACACTGAGCTTCTGAGGAAACCTCAGGATTCCGGCGGTGGTTTCCTGCGTAACACGCTCAGACGATTGTCCAAGCACAGGATAGAGAAGCTCAGGCAAGAACATGGAAGCGCCGACCACGGGGAGACCTACAAGGGTTTCCCTTACGCTTACTGGGCATTCAGCCGGCAACAGATACCGCAAAGCTTGGCGAAGCTGCCCGATCCTGACGAGCAGATGGCACTGAATATCTTCCAGTTAATCCTGACATACGCGGGACTCGGCCAAAACGGTGACACAGTGCGCAGAGTCGAGGACGAGCATGTGAATCTCATACAGACAGTGATGGAGCGTTGTATACGCAAGGAGAATCTTCTGGGTGAGCTGTATCTTCAGTTGATCAAGCAAACGACTGATCACCCAGATCCCAATAGCCGCGTCAATCTCAGACACTGGGCATTGTTATCGCTCGCATGTTCCGTAATTCTGCCGCCGCAGAAGGCTATACGCAAATACTTGATAGCTCACCTGAAGCGCTGCGCCAGCGACTACGTGACCGAGGAGGGCAAATACGCGAGGTTCGCGGAGAAATGTCTGTACAAGACGCAGGGCACGAGGCGGCGGCAATGGCCGCCGAGCCGCGAGGAGATCATGTGCACCATCAATCGTCGGCCGATTTACGCGAGGTTCCACTTCATGGATGGTCAATATCATGCCGTCGAGTTTCACCCGTCCGCGACGGCCAGGGACGTTATGGAAATCATAAAGACCAAGATAGGACTGGAGGAAACTGCCATGGGTATATTGATCGCCATTCACTTTTGCATATATATAAAAACTTGATTATAATTTGTAACTTTGATTATAATTTTATTCTAAATGTTTGCTCTATTATTATTAGATTTATTATTTGTTTTTAATGTTAGGTTACGCGATCTACGAAGTGCTCGGACCAACCGAACGTTCGCTAATACCCGAGGAAAAGATAGCCGACGTTATGTCCAAGTGGGAACGCTTCAGAACGTCGCAGCAGAATCAGCAAACGCAACGAAAGCATGCTCATCATTTCTTCTTATTTAAGAAACACTTGTTTTTGGACCAATACATGAACCTAGATGATCCTGTGGAGAAAGAGCTGCTGTATCATCAAGTACTGCATGATTTGCGAGCCGATCGGTTTCCCATCACTGAAAAAGAAGCCGTGAGTTCTTTCAAAGCGACACGTTCGCACCCTTTCTCCTCATTGCCGCATCATTATGTTAAATCTGCACAGACTAGATATCGAAGATTGAAGATCGGAACTTGGTCAATCAATAGACAAAGCGGCAAAGATCGAAGTTGATTCGTCAGGTTCTAATCTCTAATTCGCGATCTCCAATATCCAGTCTGACACGGGGCTCTGCGTTATGTTATATATCACGTAATTTCTTGCTGATGCAATCGCTTACAGATGATGCTGACAGCTCTGCAAGCACAGTTGGAAATGGGCGATTGCCTCGAGCAAGTTATAACAGAGCAAGATTATCGTACGATATCGAGTCACTGCCTGCCGTCGAGGCTGGTGCCGAGCCTGTGCGTGGAGGGTGTGCTCCAGCACCACCAATCCCTGCGCGGTATGACGCCGCCCGAAGCGAAGAAAGCCTTCTTGAATCTGATCCAGTCGTGGCCGTTGCATCGCGCGACGATCTTCGACGTCATGCAGTCGTTCACCTCGAATTGGCCTCGTGTGCTATGGTTGGCCGTCGATCAGCAAGGTCTTCATCTCCTCGAACATCGCTCAAGAAACGCACTATGTACCTACGAGTATAGCAGCATCTTAAGTTATACTCCCGCCGTTAATTGCCTGATGATCATCACCGGCACCGACAAAAAGCAGAGCAAAGTCATCCTCACGACGTCGCAGGTATACTTAACATTGTCGGCGAGATGACATTGACCCCGTTGGCCATTGACAATCGTGATATCTTGTTTTCATTCTTTTATTATCTCTTCATCTTATTGCGGTCGCGAGTCTCATCGAGAACATTCGTGTGTGTTAATCATATCATCTGGTCGCTTCACCAGGCACATCAAATAGCGAATCTGATTCGCGAGTATATGGAGGTGCTGCAGTCACCGCCGGAAATACCACGGAGGGACTCGACGATAGCTCAACAGCTGGCTCAACAGCAGCAGCAACAGCAACAGCAGCAACAGCATCCACAACCGCCCGCTGCAACTGTCCTATCAACATCCACCGGTGGACGCAAGTCCCGACCAGCTTCGGCGATGTTGCACAGAGGTGCTCCGGTAATTCAGTCGCAAGCTAGTTAGAATGCCAATTAGGCGACTCGCGTTTATAAAGAGACGACGACGATGACGACGACGACGACGACGACGACGACGACGACGACGACGACGACGACGATGACGATGGTGATTTCCCTTCAACCTGGTACCTAAGGTTCGAGTTCTCGTCGGGCGCGCACGTTCCATTGCCAAGTGCCATAAATCCCAAATACGCACAGCGTCACGCATGCGGTACTGTCTATTTTATCAAACAGAGAGAAAAGAAAAGAAATACGCGCGACTATATATGAACATATACATATATATATATATATATTACTGTACACACTAACATTAATCTCCAACTACCGAACTCCGTCTTTATCCGTGCGATTCTCAAATGCTCCCCTTTACGTGTACTTTCTTTAGCGATACGTACTCTCTGAGATTTTAGCGCGTGGTAGAATGAGGTTTCAGTATCAGACTGGTGGCGAAAGGAAAGAAAGAAAAAAACATCTGGCTCGTGTTTACACGTTTCTCACACGCTACACGCGGCTGCCTATCAGTATTGAACGAAAGACGCGTACCTTGAACCTTTGGGGAAGATATCTCGCAGATATCTTCGGATGAAAATGATGTCAGGAGGAGCCGCGTGTAGCGCAGCTTAAACGCGCCGTTAGATAGAAACATGAAGAATACGGGAAGTCTTAAATCGTTGATGCTTTCCTCGGTCAGGCCTATCGAGTGATTGACGAGGCAATCGTCGTTTAAGGATGGCACTAGCTCTTAGGAATACTTCTTTCTTCCACTATTTATTCGAGTTAGCTTAGACCCTTGAGGTCGAGTTGAGTCAAAGACTAGATTAATCTTCGCGAATAGCCGAATTAGCGCAGCGAGTTGTGAGTGATAAATAACTGCCATTAGAAGTGTTATTATTAAACCGCGACAGAGGGCAAGAAGAGACACAAGAAGTTGCCGAGGACTTTTTCTATTTCTATTGTGACCGTTATCATTGTTGCCTTTTTTATGAGCGACCGCCACCGTTTTTGATAACCGTTTTTGCAGCACGACAAAAGCAAACGCGAGAACTATGTACACGGCGATACATATTTAACGATTGAATAATAACGATCGATCATCCCGACTCCGCGTTCGAAGTCGCGTTATCCCACCGGCATATCAGATATCTAGATCGACGAGCGACACAAGAGAAAGAAAGAACCGCGCGATTGCCCGATTACGATGCGAGACCAAAAACTTCATCATCTCTCGAACGTGAACGTAAACGTTCGATCGCGAACGTTGTCTGCCAATTGTTATATACATACATGTTATATACACCATACCTTTGAGGACAGCGGGACGATGCGGTGGCCAAGATTTTGTGACATTTTATTGATATTATAAATTCACGATTATATGCGTGCGTACATGCATGAAAGAATCTTTACAAATTGTCTGCGGTAAGAACAGCAACGAGAACCGCAAGATAATGCAAGATATTATCTCGCGTATCGGGAAAAAAGGGAGCGAGAGTAACTCACGTATAGCGAGAAGACAAGTTTTGCTGAGGCGCTTACGTTCTGGAAAAAGAAAAAAAATGGATTGTAAATCTCTTGTAAAGCTTTGGCCACCACGCAAGATCCCGCGAGATCCGAAATCGCGCGAGACAATCGTTGAAAGAGAGCGGGATATTGTTTCCCCTTCCTTGAGATCGATTCCTTGTCAACGATTCCACAAGCTCGACACATATTTAACGGGGTATATATACCTTTCGCAAAAAGTTGTACTGCATGTCCGTCGTTAAGTCGACTCTCGAGCCGCTAGATACCAAGTGGAAGCGGCTTGCATTTGAATACTGTGCGAGAAAATCGAAATCCGCATGCGGGGAGCTGTTTGCTTCGCTAACGATAATCACGTAAAACTAGTTTAAGGATACAGAAGAGCGTGCGTGCGTATGTGCACGCATGCATTTGGTGCGAATCATGGGTTACTCATATATACGAAGAGTGAGACGAAAGTATTCGCGCGCGTATCGTTCTCTTGGGATGAAATTTCGCACGACGAAGGAGGAAAAGTATTGCGATGAAGAGAACACGCTGACGCTTACTGGTAAATAATTACTTTTATTTGCGGCACACACGTCGAGCGATGCGCTTTGTTGCGGCTTTATTGGCAACATACGTGTAAATGTAAAAAAATATCCCATGGGAGATGGCGATCGTGTGCGAATACTTGTTTTACTCGCTGCATGTAAGACATAAGACGAATCGACTGAACCGTTCTTCGTTCTCCAGACAATCCTCCCGATATCGTCGCTTTCTTCGTGTAAAGTTAATAATCACTATCGCTAAATTAGAGAAAAAGGAAGAAATATACATATATATATATATATTTATATATATCTATATATATATATATATATATATACAGGTGAGAAAAAATGAAAAAAGGAGAGTAAAGTGAGGGAAGTAAGGGGGAAAGCGTAATACACGTGTGTGGCATACCTGCATTGCGGACGCGAGCGCGTATTTTTGTTAGGAACATGCGCGAAAGCACGCGAAATTGCGTCCAATGATACTTCAGTTTTCAAATTCATGGGAGAGAAGAGCGAAAATGTATCCATTCGGAAAATATACGCTCGTGCGTGTTATGTGTGTTTGTGTAAATATAATGAAACATCTCGCGTTGAGAGCTAATGTGGATAAGCTTCGCACAAGTATCCCCGGTGTTTCTCCACGGGATACGATTATCGCGCTGTGACACTATGCGAGATCGCAGCACGAGATCCTTTCGATCTCCTGCCTGAGATCTTCGCCACGACGAAACTCCCACTCACGCATTGCCCTTACACTTTTGTGTGCGACATAGATCTCAATGGTGAGAATCAATCGAACAGGAGGGAACGATGCTGCCGATTTGTTATCGATTTACATTCATTAGTTCCGATTCGTATCACAAACCGGCATAATAACGTTAATCCTTTAACTCCGGATTTAGCCTCGAAGCTAAGCCAATTCTTACTATCTATGTGATTATATGTTATTTTACATGCATATATAATCATGAGTAATGGAAAAAAATTTTTTTTTGTTTCATTTTTCTCAATATTCTGCTCGTACGGGATCTACGTTACGCCGAGTTGAATTAACAGGCAATATACAATTAGATTAATATAATTAGGTTAATAACTGGTATTTTTTAAACGTATGCATTTTTTTTTAGATATCAATGTAAAGTTACGACGGTGGCATATTACTGCTTTGACACATCGCTCTCGCGTTTCGTTAAACGATTAATAATTAATAAATTAATAATGCGTACGACTAGAAAATTATGAAGACCTAGTTGCATGACACGTTCACAAGCTATTATGCCGATTTGTATATATAATATATATATATATATATATATATATTTATTGAAAATAATATAAAGATTCTCTTTCGCGTAAACGAGGACCATCTTAGCGGAGCCGAATTTCACGTGAAACTGGACGTTTTCATGAGGGACAACTTGTTGAAATTGAAGCAAAACGCGTGTTCTCGATTTTTCCGCCGAGTCGCGATTAACAAGATCGATTCGCGTCGATGTTGAAACGCACAAACAAAGATACAAATCGGTTTTGACGATAACTATTATTGAATAATCGTTGAATTCCGCAAGAACAAGGATGTCAAAGATCGCCGAGATAAGGAGGCGCGGTTTCATTCGAGACGAGGATACTGGGAAAAGGGAAGGGAATGATTTTCCGTTAATTTTTATTTCTTTCACTTGAAAGTTTCTGGCGGGACCTCGACATATGCAGAGAGATAGACTGTGATTCGCTTTGGGAGAGTCTTTAGTCTTCGAGAGCCGTTTAACTGAGTGAGACTACTACGTTTCGTGTTATCGTACGGTATGTGTGACAATGCGAATGCGGCGTCGTGTATAATGAGTACAATAATTAACATATTCGATAAGTCCTATCTTACGCGGAGCAATCGTACATGAAATGGAAGAAATAGCGGAAGTATCTGATCGGAAAGTATTGTTTATATCTGCAGTAAGTTGAAACGAAGCACTTTGTAACAATACTTGTATCTTCAGTGCATGATTATCTTGAAGAGGATAAATAGGACCATTTGAATACTTTTACTCATTATCGACGACGCGTGTGTACGTGTGTGTGCGCCCACAGGACGCAAAGATACTAAAAGATCTCAGAAGGAAGCCTGAGGAAATAAGAGATCTTTTGCGACTTAATTCTTCAGGCGTCTGGGTAAAGTACAGGAAGAAAGGTGCCTGAAAAGGGATATGAAAAACTCAATTTTGAATAACGTCTTTAATTCCTCTACACGTATCGTACACGTTCTTCGGGTTTCAATGTTGTTTCGGCTGTCCCTTCGGAACTGAACCTTTCGGTCGAATGTCAAGAGACGTCCACCATATAAACTTCGGGCATCTTTCAAAACTTCTCTTCGTTGTGTTTGGGCGTGTATATGTTCACACGAGAAAGGAAGAAGAAGAAAAAGAAACGAAAGAGTGAACATAACGAATGTGATTAATTGTAAGAACAATACGCGCGTGCATGCATGTTACTTAAGTTAAGTGACGGCGCGCTCCGTGCCCCGTGCCGTACATGTAGCTTCTAAGTGAAATGATAAGTTATTGATTGACGATGTTATTGCAAAAAAAATATATATATATGAACAAAAATGACGCTGTATATATAAATATATACATATAACACTATATATATATATATATAGACAGAGAGCTCGCGAACGCGCACGAGCGTTTGAGAAAACGGCCGTGCACACACAGGTGGGTGCGGCGAACCGCAGCACGTAAACGTCACGTTGCTGCAAGGGGAATTCGCGCGCGCCTACGTTATTACATAGGAAATTATACGTATTATATATATATATATTATATTATATTATATATATATATATATATGAATAAAAAAAGATACATACATATACACGCCACGTGTCGTCATGTGTTCCAAACAGCGCAGTAAGGATACGACAAAGGAAAAGAGCGAGCTACTTTGACGTGGGCTTTAATTTTGCACGAGCGAGCTGCTGCTGTCGGGACAATCAAAAGGATCAAGCGACCGGACGGAATCGTCTATATTCTTCCTTTCTGATTTTTTTCTTCTCTTTTATTTACGATTCTTTAGACAATAATCAGACAAGTAACAGTGTTCATTCCCCCTGGAGATTGCCCATATAATTACTCGTGCGACACAAGCCAGGTTTTAAACTCGGTTGCCGGTGTTTCGTGTCACTCTGTTACAACGTATATGTATATAACTATACAGTTATATGCATATATAGCTCCATGCACCGATTTCATTTTTCAATTCTACTGCAACTTCTTCGTGGTCACCGTGGTATCGAGAGAGCCAAATTCCGTGACAGCAAAAACAGAGGCAATCTTTCGTGCACGCGTATATATACCGCTTCCCTTTTCTTCTTCTTCTTCTTCTTCTTATTCTTCTTCTTTTGCGTTAAATTAATCCACAGTAATAATAAAAAAAGAACAATAATAATAGTAATAATAATAACAACAATAATAATAGCAATAATAGAAATAATAACAATGATATTCGCGATGTCGTTACAATAGTCGGCGTCGGATAATGATATTGTGATGTGTGATACGCGATAACGATAACGATCGATGTTATGGCGGTAAGTAATAAATTCTGTCATCTGGATGTAAATCAGGTATAGACGCGGATAGTTGCGTTTCGCTTGTTTATTCCTTCTTCCCTCGTGTGTCTTTTCTTCTTCTTAATGAAGCGTCACCCTCGTCGTTACATTTCCGGCCATGCCGTGTCTCATGGCAATTTCTCGCGATTTGAAGTTTTATTTCTCTCAATCTATTGCATCTCGTATTCTTTCGCTAGTCGAACGCATGTACTTTATCCACTTCTTAATACACTGGCTAATCACGCCGTAATAGAAAGGACTTCCTTCCTTTTCTCTCTCACTCTCTCTCTCTCTCTCTCTCTCTCTTTCCTCCTCTCTCTTTCTCTCTTCCTCTCTCTTTCAAGTGGAGCGCAATCACGACGATTGCGGTTGTCGCATGATTGTATTTTAATATATTTTGTTATAATTAATATATCATATAATATATACATATTCCTCTTTGCATAACACAAACTGATCCATTTATGCGAGAAATATCAAAGATAGTTCGAATTAAGTGGATAACATATGCAACTCGCATATAAATTATATATCATATAATTATATAATTTCCTTTGGATACGTTATATAATATATTAATTATAATAATTAATATGTCTATCAAAGATTATATCATCATTGTAGCCGCGGGATTCAATTAACTGTCGCATCGTTATTAGGTGATACCTGTACAGAGAAGTATGTGTGGGTGTATTTCTTGTATGCATATTGTGTATCTCATTCACATTTACGAAGATACGTCTTGCATTCACTGGCATCTCGTATTTTTTTTCTTTTTTTCTTTTGGCACTTGCAATTGAATCGCTAAGATTCATCAGAGGCGCTGGAAAACAATCATAATTTCGAAAATTATACGAATGTACGCGCGAACATCGGTCGGTTCATTCAAATAAATTAATACAATTTACGTTAAAATAACATAAAAATAGAAGACTCGCAAAGAAATAAAGGGTCCTATCCCAAGTCTGGCTGTCGGATTGTATAGATCTGCGGAAAGAGGTCGCTTGGTTTGGAAATTATTGCGTGCGAAATATCTGACGAGGGAAAAGTTGCGCGAAAATTTCACAACGTTAGAATCGAGTTTCCCGAACGGAGATACGTACACGTCGAACTGCTTGTTGCGGAAATTCCAAAGGTTTATTTAACGCGATTCATTCACCGTGGCCGGTGAACTTCAGACTTGAATTTGTCGCACGTTAGAGATGCACTGCGATAGATTGATAGTTCGACCGATCGAGCGGCCGGTAGATAGTTTCGATTCGAGCTGCGATCGATACGTCGCGCGTTCGCTCGACCATTTTCCATCATGGTGACCGTTTTCGAGTCACGTAACGGATCGTGAACAGGAAAAACACGGGTTTTCCGTAAAAACAGGTATTTCGTGCATCAAGTATGTATGTGTGAATGTGTCTGTCGCATGTATGTGTATGTGTGTGTAACTTAGCCTCATTAGTTCTACATGAGAAAAACACCGAAAGCGTTCATTCAACGCGTGACTCAGTCCTCACACGTTCTCTCCTACCTTAAGTTTTCCACATTTCTTCCTCCAGCTCCCCCTTTTC